GGGGTTTCTTAGCTGATTCTTTATGTATTTTTGCGTGCTGATTCCAAAAAAATGCCATTCATTTTTGCCCAATCAGGTCAGATTGCATGCTATAGAGATTAGGAAAAAATCGAAATTCTTAAATATGATGTCAAAATTTTTATACAAGGTATGAATGTATACAACACATAGGACCAAATATATCCTTCTATGGAATGCCTTTACAGTTAGACATGCATAAATGGCTGTGCAGAAATTTCTTTAATTGGCAGGATTTGGTGTCTGGGGCGTCCGTTTCAGACACCAACAGTAATCAGCGAACATGTTGATATCCCATGACCTGGTACGCTCCTCCATTATCATCCATCTTTGGTGGATGAACCAGACTTGGGATCTTTGAAAAGCTCTCTGATCTGAGGGCCATCAAAAATTCCTACTAGCTTGCCTGTTGATTCGACATAAACTTAACATTATGGATGGATCTGTTACCAGGCCAGTCATTGCATGATTATAAAAATATTTAATAATATATGATGACGAAGGTATAATAGAGGCAGACCTCAGTACCTATTAGAAAAACTGTCAACCAAAATATAAATTTTTAGAAAGCAACTGTTTTGGTATGATAAATGCCTTTAGAATCTCCACAGATCTTTGGTGTGGATTTTATACTTCAAAGCAGTTAACCAGATACTCCACGTTGTTGTAGTTCTCATCCATCTGCACTGAATGCCCCACCGGTACAAGCGACCTGGTTTCCATTGAACAACAACACAGCTTTCAAGCTTCTTCTTTTGATGAGTCAATGAAAGAGCCGCACATCGGGGTGGTTGCTAGTACATGCCATGTACCACCAAATGAAAAAAAAGAAATTTAATTGAAAAAATATGTCAAAAACACGGACATATCTCTTTTCACTTTGCGTGCAACCGGACATTCATAAATGGCCGGCGAAAACACTGATGAGTTTATTTAAATGCATCGTAAGGACATTAAAACTGACCAGGAAATCTTTTTCTGTGAGGCTTGCCAATGTCTCGGATGATTTTTTGTGGACGAATATGAAGACCCATTTTGAGCGAAAAGTAATGCTTCACCTGGAATCTCCGGCTTAAAATGCTATAGCACAAAATTCTGACCTGATTGAGCAAAATGGATAACATTTTTGAGATCAGCATACCAACTCTACCCAGAAAAGCTTAATAATACACAAACCTCATTATTTATTAACGTACATCATGAAGGCATACCACCGAGCTGGAGCTACTGTAGTATGTGGTCTACAGAGCTGGAGCTACTGTAGTATGTGGTCTACAGAGCTGGAGCTACTGTAGTATGTGGTCTACAAGCTGGTGCTACTGTAGTATGTGGTCTACAGAGCTGGAGCTACTGTAGTATGTGGTCTAGAGCTGGTGCTACTGTAGTATGTGGTCTACAGAGCTGGAGCTACTGTAGTATGTGGTCTACAGAGCTGGTGCTGTAGTATGTGGTCTACAGAGCTGGAGCTACTGTAGTATGTGGTCTACAGAGCTGGAGCTACTGTAGTATGTGGTCTACAGAGCTGGAGCTACTGTTATACTTCCAGATTCTGGGGTCACTAAGTCGAAGGGGATAACTTAACTCTATTCTTAATTTCTAAGGGTCGCTGCCACCAGACCCCCTCTGGGCAGTAGCTCGTTAGGTAGCGGGCAGAGTGGACTAGGCATTGGGTTGGGTTTTTCATTGACCAAATCGATAAGGGAAGAGGGTGAAACAATAACTTGTTTTAACTAATTTATTCCTCTTAAAACATATTGCATTCCGTCAAAATACCAGAAGAGTTGGCCTTCCTCAGAAGAACAACTGTGATTTTAGTTACACTGCTCAACAACAGACGTCTTACATTTATTGCATGTCATTAACATACTCATTCCTCATAACAATCATGGACCTCCTTACCTCGGTCATTCCTTCTAACTTATAACACCAAACACCTCAGACTGCACCACCTGTTAGAGTATAACATCACCTGTTACATTACAACAAGAGTTGGTCTTCATCAGAAGAACAACTATTATTTTCATTACACTTCTCTTGATGAGCAGATGGGATACTGCCCAGGTAATCATACCAGTACTGGTTCCACGCCTGGTATTATAGGTCGCTCCACGTAGCAACAGCGAAACTTCTCTAGTATACAGTGATTTTCTCCTATCCTGGGTGGTGATATGTAGGGTATCTACAGATTCACAGTGGAGTGCAGGGCCACTGTGAGCAGCCCGCACATGGTGTGGCCTACACAGTGTGGTCATGGCTAACGCCTGAGAGGCGCTCAGAACGCGTCCTGTGTTGGGAGAAGTCGAAGCATCACTAAGAATAATGCCTGAAGGGCTTTCGTCACCACACACTAGTACGTTATGACTTCACTTCATAACATCAGACAAGGTTTTAAGATGTAAAACTGTCAGATAAGTTTTTTTAGGGCTAAATAAAGCATGATGAAGAACACTAACATGTGTTGGGAGAAGTCGAGGCATCACTAAGGGTGATGTCCCGACTCCCACCCTCCTCTCTGTTTAGGCCTACAGTTTCCAATCATTAATTTTCACTTTGAATTCTTATGGTTCCCACATCTCCATTTTCCTATCAATTGTGACCTTATGCTTTATAAATACATATCTTAATCCTAAATTACACACTAAGGTAAGGTTCTGGTTTACTGGTCCCTGGGTAAATTCATTGGGTTATAATATCAATGCGGTATGCGGGCGGTCTAGGCGCCAACCCGAACAAAGCCTAGCATCGTATTTTCATGGAGGGGGTATACAAGATATTTTCTTTGAAGCATAGTTTCTGGATCACTTCCAACACTTCACATAGGTCTGATACATTTATCCTTTCTCCAGATCATTGTTCTCGTGTATTTTTATCTGATATCTAAGGAAGTTATGTTCACTAAACATTCACAGACGTAAATAGTATGACCTTCAAACCACGATCTACACTTAGCCCGGAAAGTACACTAGCCCGGATCAATTGGACTCTCACAACCATCCTATAGAGACCTTGAGTTCTCCTTAATGCTACGAATACATACAATTAATATTATATAACCGTATCTGGGTACAATTCAACAAATGATTCAGCAAGTGCCCAACCCTAATAGATGGGATCAGGAAGAATGGGCATAGGACTAGAACATTGTCCCCAGACATGGACACCTTGGCATACAGCTCGCTTAATATATTGTATTGGTGCAGCTTGGGTTGGTGAAATCCCTTCAATGCCTCGGCCTTTCTTTGTGAAGAGATATTTCCGGGCATTGTTCACCTGTAATGTTGTAACAAAGGCATTACAATCATAGTTTCATCAGAGAATGGGTTATGTATCAATGTTTCTTTGCAAGCATTTACCTTTATAGTGTGCTATATGAATATGACTTTAAGTTTAGCTGTGTCCCAAACAAAGATAAGTATTACGACGCTAGTAGCTGAGATATTAAGTAGTCAAAGAGTACGATGGGAGACAGACAGACATCTAGATACAGACATGTAGACACAATTAGACACACTGACAGACACAGACAGACTAACATAAAGACATGCTTATTCTGGAAAATATTGCAATTTAAAACTTACTTCTAAATGAAATCTGTTCCTTGGTTTGCGAGAATATGTTGAAGGGATCATATTGTGAGCCAAATTACTCTCCTCTGCTTCACTTGCTAGTTTGTTGAAGTTGTGAACAGGGTTGGTTGGTCCAATTCTCCACAATCATCTGTAAAAACCTGACATTTCTGAGATATTACTACAAACAAACAAACCTTCATTTTCATTCATACTGTACAAATATTTTCCTTCAATAATACATCATTACCTGACAGGAATTAATCTTGAATCTCCGTGTCTAGTGGGTACTGAACCTTCCTGCCATCCCCTTTGTGTGATAATTTACTAATGCCATGACAAGTGTTTCTGTTCGTGTACTTATTTTGTTATGTGCAAAGGCTAAAATATATAACGGGAACGCAATCCTCCACTTGAGCTGGGATGAAAAATGCCAAAACAACTGTAATAGCATGAGCTGTTCCAGTAAACAGGTCAAACTCAATATTCTTCAGCTCAATTTCACTACCAACTCTCTATCAAAATTAGACTTACAAATTATATTTTTCATCTACTTTCACAAACTTTATTCATAAGAACTTGAAAGCGGTGAATACTTATTAATACTAATACAGTAAAATCCCAGTTATCCGGCACCTACAGGGATTGACAGGTGCCGGCTAAATAGTTTTTCCGGTTAATTGAAACTCTTTCCTAGGACCCCTAATAAATCCTTCAGGCTGACCTCACAAATTCGTGTCTAAGACTTTGTACCATTCACATTAACCATCTGTTCTCTATTAATCAAATATGATTGCATTAACTTTACATGGATCTGCAGAATAAGATTTTCTCGAGAAGATTGTGGATAAGGGTTTAGATGTGTAGATAGTGCCGTTTCTACAGAGGGACTGGAAGTAGGAAAATTTATGGTAGTTTTATTCCTAGGACGGTCCTCCATGCAGTAACATCCTAGGTGTGGGGATTTCGGGAGATGGATCCGATTCTTATAGTTTGGGGTGGACACTTGTATGTAGTTGTGTGATGGAAATTGGAAAGTCAACAGCTTTTTTCTGCGCTTGTGTCTTCCAAAGTCAGCTATTTCGTTCCCTGGAAACTTCACGTAGACCGGTATCACATGAAGCCCCAGGCACTGGCCCTCCACAGGAAGGGTGCAGAAAAACCAGAGGTTATTAATACTAGTACAGGCTGGGTCGAGGAAACACCATCAGAAATGGTAAAGTTTATAGAAAGCCTTTGTGAAACCTACTCTGTAAGTTGCCTGTGGAAGCCCCAAAGGAATGTAAGCGTTGCGGAGACCGGGAGGAGGGAAGCCCATCCTTGTTGGCTCACCAGGAAGCGGAACCGACGGCTAGAAAGGAAGAGAGATAAATTTGTATTCATTAATATCGTCATAGAAGTCCACATTAGTTCAACATCCACATTGGGCATAGACTGTGAGAACAAATGTATCAAAGACCTGTTTGTTATGTACTGTTGGCAAGTGCTGGGTACAGTATGTACACTCGCTTTGTAACTAGGCGTGGTAGGTGCTAGGAGGAAGTAACTAGGTGTGGTAGGTGCTAGGAGGAAGTAACTAGGTGTGGTAGGTGCTAGGAGGAAGTAACTAGGTGGTAGGTGCTAGGAGGAAGTAACTAGGTGTGGTAGGTGCTAGGAGGAAGTAACTAGGTGTGGTAGGTGCTAGGAGGAAGTAACTAGGTGTGGTAGGTGCTAGGAGGAACGTGCTGCCTCTTTACGTGAAGCTCAAAGGGTAGATCAGTGAACAAATTATCAACACATTGTCTTCAAATGAACGTTTAATTTAATTAATCCACAATAAAAATGTCATTAAATATTTTTTTAACACTCTAAGGATTTCAAAAAGTTATATTTTGTCTAATTATTTACACGATATCTTCCCGAAAATTTATGGTTATTATGTAATCACATTGTTGTAGTTGGCATTAATGTACAGTTGACAGTTAGTATTTTGATAAGCATCTCACATTCCTGATAACATGTTCAGTTGTACCAAAGTGTTAATTTTCAACAAATGTCTCCCTTTTTCCAACATGTTGATAGTTGTATACCTTCATCAGATGTAGACAACACACACAACAACGTCTGGGAATTACAATATATGATACTAATCGCTTCTCAAAAACGCTAGATGAAAATTTTGGGTTTACGAAGAAAACAACCGAGCAGCGCGTGCGTGAGAATCATTATCTACACCACTCACTCCCATACCAACCAGTTAAAGTTACTCTCACTTTTTCTGTGATACTGCCGTCGGGTTAGTAGCTGTCGGCTCTCTCCTCCCAAATAACAGTGATATCAAGACCAGACAGTGGTGATAGTAATAAGGTTCTTTTATCCGATTCACTGGTTAATAAGCATATATATTTTTTGTTACATCACGCTTGTACGTAATAAAAAAAAGAGTATGGAAAATAACGTACGTATCTGTGTTGCTGCTGGTCCGTGGACGTACAATTCTCATCAGGTGACGTACGAGTGACCAGAGTGTATACAGAAAGAGACGGGGGGTAATGAACGACACTCCTCAATAAGTGGCGCCACATAACCCACCACGATGTCTACAGTGTACGACAACCCTTGCTTCCAGGGTGAGGTGAGTTTATCCCAATACACAACATATTCCTTGATGTAACTCTTCAAATTATTTTTTATTTTATGCAATTTCAGAACCCATGTTTAGTGAATTATTCGTTTAACTGTGTTGATGTATTGTAATTATCAGAGCAATCTATCGCCATGTAGTGATTGATGCTCTCTATCATACCATAAGAATATATACATTACTATAGGCAGCACAACAAGAGGGGGCATTAGTGAAAAAAAAACTATCGAAATTTAGGAATTATAAGTCTTATCCTCAGATATAAAGAGAAGAAAATGCTCCTTCAATTTTAAAGTCTCTACATCCCATGGATTACTGTATATCATGCCTCCAGAAAGACATAACATCACCAGTAAAGGTTCAATGCGGTTCCGTAACTGTGTCGTCTCGATTACCTAAGCATACTTGAGGACCTTAGGACTGACAACTCTTCAGGCAAGGAGGGATCTGAGAGACATTGAAAATCTTGAAAGCGACGGAAAAAGTGAACCCGGATTTTGGTGATGTCACGCACCACCAACACGAGGTGACGTAACTTCGTGCTCCAAATTATCATACAGAATGAAGATAAGGAATACTTCTTCACACAGAGGCTGGTAGACCTATGGAAAAGTCTACCAGCTCAAGCTATGGAAGCGAGAACAGTACTGGGCCTTAAAACAGACCTTGACGAGACTATCAAAAACAATGTAGGATCCGACATAGGCCACTGGCCTCTTTCCCTTGGTATGGCCACTTCTATAGTTGAGATGGCCATTAGGTAAATTAGGTTATGATGTCATAATTCAACTTACCCATCATGATAAAAAGACTACAGTACCATCCATCACGGGGCAGTACTTCAGCCTACCTATCATGATAATATTATTATAGATCGTATCTCCCACGTATCAGTTAATATGGCCTCTCAGTGTTGCTTCACAAACGTCGATGGTCACTTGACAATAAAAAAAGTACTATGTAATAACGAGAATGTTAAAAATGTTGCTACAAACGATGTGTTTAGAAAAATAAATTATTATGACCTATTTGTAGTTATAAACATATAGTGACGAGAATTTTAATATAATAAATGGAATATGCACAGAAGACACAGGCAACTACTGTACCTTGAAGGTTCAGTAACCTTTCATGTGATTTATTATTGATTTTTTTACGCTCTCAACAGCACTTAATCTATCGGCTTATCATCAGTAAGTGTAGACACCTATTTTTCACTTTCGACGATAACTGATTTCTGATTCCCATTTCACCGGTCAAACAAAATCATAACTCTGTTTTCGTGGAATGACAATTAATTTATACCATGGAAACCTGGTGGTGTATCTGCATTTCACAATCAAGGTGGATTATGTAAGATAAATTTTCCTCGTTGTTTCTTTTGGTTTGCGGTCTACTTTCTCACACACCCTCCCGAGAGCGGTGGCAAGCAGCCCAAATATCAGGGCCGCCAGCAAACTAGTGAGGAACTGTGAATAAATTATTGTAACCTAATCCTGTTTCATCATTTTGGACCAGACACTTTCTTCAGATATAGCAAAAGAAAAATGTTTGGGGGAAATTCTGATTAAGACGTATTGTTTGGAATGACTGAGTAAACAGCTCGAGGATGGCGGTAACAATGACGGAGATTACGACAAACTCTATATTCCTTTGTTGTCAAAATTGATCAGTTCTTTAAAGGCTTCTTACAAAATTTCGACGTAGCTATGGCATTAACGATATGATATAGGTGAGAGTCAGGGATATTTGTAAACATGAAGACCCTGTACATCATAGCTTTTATTTTACTTTTATCCTCTTCCCCAACTGATCGGCTCGTTAGCCGCTTGGGCGATCTGTCACGTCTCTGTTATGCACTGTTGGCAAGAACTGGGCATGAACTGACCCTTGACTGTATCTGAATCTGCTCTAGCGCTTGTCAAGTATGGTCTTGAAAGAGCTCACACTCAGTGCCGTCACAACACTCTCTGGCAGATTGTTCCAAGAGTTCACAACTCTCACTCCGAAAAAGCTACCCCTCACAGTTTTCTGGACTTGCGACTTCTTCAACCTTGAGCTGTGACCCCTTGTGGGGCGAGCGTCCGCCAGCTCCAGGTAAGGGCACTCGACTGAGTAGTGCCCTTTGAGATGTTTATACACCTCAATTAGGTCCCCCCCCCCCTTGCCCCCTGTGGTATAAGCTAGGCAATTTCAGGCGCTCTAATCAACTGACAGTCCGTAGCATATCTCGGGGACCAGACGGGGTGACAGTACTCCAAACGGGGAAGCAACTCACTCGTGAAGATCGTTACGAGGGACGGTTTCATTTACTGCCATTTTTTATCCCAACTCTGCTGATGCACCATGACTGTCTTAGGGTATAATATCCTCTCTCTAAAAACGGGACAATAGTTTTTTTATCATTATTGTCTGATAATGCAATCCGTGTTTCGTAACATTCGAAATTCCGTCGTTGGCGATATCACTATCTGGCTGAAGTGAAGCCGTCATCATGACTTGCTAATTGTGTTTGTCGTTCCATTACATAAAGAAGTTACCACGATCAGTGTATGGACCTATCAGATTTAAAACACCTAATTTACCAATATCGGTGCTTTTAGTGCAGGATGGTTATTGTATTGTATTGTATACCTTGTAATAACTCGACAATTATCTGCTACTAAAGAAAATGGGAGGAATTGAACGTTTTTCATGACGGAAAATAATCCTGACCTGAAGCCATTAAGAGCTCGGAGTGTTAGCTTGTTTTTCTTACACCAAGAATGTGTTCCTGGCAGACTGTATCATTTCTTATGCTTTAGATAACAACAGGAAATAAGGTAGTAAAGACCTTCGATAACAACATTTGATATATACAGTGTACAATGAATTAATTTTGTCTTAATAGTGACTTTGTACTGATGTAATTTTACGTACACTGCATACCTTCATTATATGGGTATGAAAACTAATTTTATTAAATTATTGTATACAGTCTTATGTTGGTTAAAATTTATTGAAATGACCCCCCCAGTCTATAACGAAAGGCCCTGTGACTTAGAATATGACTTAAACTTAGAGGCTCTTCATTGTGTTGCCCTTCCGAGTAACTGTTTTTATTTGTATTATGTTTTTTTATTTTTAGGGGAATGGTGATGTGTCAGTCGCGGTGGAGAAGGGATGGTCGGGCAAAGAGAAACTGACCTACTCGTGGGACAACGTGAACGTGTTTGCCTCCACCACAACAGGCTGCGGCAAGAAGAAGGTCACTAAGGCGAAGCACATCCTCAAAAACAGTAAGGAGGAGGAGGAAGAGGTGGTGTTTTGGTGGAGTGGTGGAGAATTAAGGAAGGGAGGGAGAATGTGGAAGATTTGAGAAAGGGAAGGGGAATTGATGAAGCTATGAGGAGGGTAGGAGGAAGTGAGGAAGTAGTGAGGAAGCAGGAGTAAGAGAGACTCACAAGACGATGGATAAGGGCAGGATAGCTCAGCAGAAGGCTCCTCCTTTCTCCCCACTCCCTACTGTATCTCAGGTAGGAACATATACTAAGTAACACAATATATTATAAAGTAAACATAAAACGCTAACAAAAAATATCTTAATAAAGGATGAATGGAAAGCGGTATAAATCGTTTAAGATCCTGCTCTAATTTGGTTCCAGAAATGTAAAAAAAAATTAAATCACTATCTTACTAAGCCTTATCTTGAGCCATAGTTTTTTTTATTTATATTCCTTGATATTTCGGTACTATTAACACCCACCCTCATTCACATTATGTTCCTGCGTAAATAAAACACCCTGTTTACATAAGTTATCCCGACAACGTCCTCTGTAAATCGTATAAAAGAAAACGTATACTCGTGTTAGCTATAACTGTGCAAATATAATTTAAAACGGTTTGACCCCGTATGTTTTTTCTTTCTCTTGTAGTCACGGGGATCTGTCGACCTGGGGAACTTCTGGCAATTATGGGGGCATCAGGAGCCGGCAAGACCACCCTCCTCAACGTCCTCACCTTCAGGAGTGACCAGGCCCTTAAAATCTCAGGTACTAGGATCTCCAATACACTTATAAGACCATGCCATATCCTCCTTGTAACCCGATCATCCTTCAATATCCTTCTAATATCCTGGTAACTTTATTCCTTTATCCTCCATGTACCCTGTCCATTCATCTGTATCCTTCACCCTCTTTAATCTGATTTTTACTGTACTCTCTAACCACCACCTCCTCGTCCTCCTACTCAAGGGTCGCTCTACGTGAACGGGCAGAGAGTAACGCCTAATCTGTTGATGAGTCGGTCGGCATACGTGCAGCAGGAGGATCTGTTTATCGGTACATTCACCGTCAGAGAGCAACTTCTCTTCCAGGTAAGCCCAATCCCTCACCCTGTCTTGTTGACTCGGATAGGTCCCTCCCTCTCTGTTTGGTAATTCGGATAGTTCCCTCCCTCTTCTCTCTGGTAATTCGGATAGTTCATTCCCTCTCTGTCTGGTAATTCGGATAGTTCCCTCCCCATGCCAGGTAGACGATAGTTGTAAACTTGGTAATGGAACCCCTAAATATGGATTCGAATACCTTTGAATAACACGAAATTGTTACGTCTATATCCTTACTGAAATACATCATGATTGGTATAAGATTTCATGTTTTATTATCGGCATTGAAGTTTATGATAGTTAGTGCTTGCTAAGTAGCATTTTCTTTGATTTTAGTTTAGAAATTTTGTGATGATCAGAAGAAATGTCGAATATATGTTTTGTATTCGCGTCACAGGCTAACTTACGGATGGATCGCAATACATCACAATCACAAAGAGTCCAGCGTGTCGACGAGGTCATGAAGCAGGTGAGTCTGAGAGTCTTCACAGGTGAGTTCGAGTCTTTTCACAGGCGAGTCCAGAAGAATAGGCCAATCCAGGACACGACATGTGAGCCAGATGATTCTAAAAATAATCACATTAAAAAAAGGTCCAGAGTTAGTGTCCTGCTGATAGTGTATGTATTACGATTATTCATCTCTCACTACGTTTAGGATTTGATATCTTTGTTTAATGCAGCTGTAGGATTTTGTCATAAATGTATATTACCCGAGAGCATTTGAGTGGTAGGGTAAATAACAGCTAAGGCGTGTTTTACAGGATGGAACAAGAACTTAGCCTTGAGGTAGGCCTACTCCAGTACTGTATTAGATATGAGAGAGAGAGCGAGCAAATCAAACAATCACAGAGGCCAAAAGAAATAAATATTTTGTCGTAAATGTTGTTCATAAATGTGAGAAAACGTTGTGTTTACATTTAACTGGAATGATTCTTTCAGCTGAGCTTGACGAAGTGCGCCAAGACGCTGATAGGAGTGGCAGGCAGTATTAAAGGCATTTCAGGAGGGGAGACCAAAAGACTTGCTTTCGCTTGTGAGGTGAGTTAACTCCTTCTCCTCCTCTTCCTCATTTTGTCTCTCCAATTATCCTTCCTCCGCTGTTTCACCTCCTAGTGGTATTCCTCCCTCAGTTGTTTATGCCTCTACTGATACTCCTCCATCATATTATTGTTTTCCATCATTGTCACTCTTATTATACCATCCCTGTTATTGTTACCGTATTCTTAAAACTATTTCTCTCTGGCCACAGATACTGACAAGCCCTTCAATAATGTTGCTGGACGAGCCCACCTCTGGCCTCGATTCCTTCATGGCCCAGACCATCGTACAGGCCATGAAGGACCTGGCCAGCACGGGAATGACTGTCATATCTACCATTCATCAGCCCAGTTCTGAGGTGAGGTGAGGTCAGGTCTCTCTCTCTCTTTAGCCTTTTGAGTACTGAAGGGGGTTAACTTAAAGTATTCAAGGGGTTAACTTAAAGTATTCAATGGGTTAAGTTATCGTATTCAAGGGGTTAATTTACTTTTCTACTCAGTTCAAGACCCAAATGAACTCTGAGCCAATGACAAGTGACTTCTATTATGACATCAACAGGAGGAAGTTTGAATTGAGTCACCCAGAAGATTGATGATAGTCTCTAAGATGCATCACCGCAGCCAACAAATTTGTGTATTTAATCAACTAGTGAACGCAATCCTTAAATTATCATATTAACTCCCATCAAGACGATAATTCTACACTCGATAGAGGTCCCGGGGAATTTGTAATAATCTGTCACATTAGTTATTCGATAATCTAATGTAACCTTCTGTAAATTACGTTTCCATAGAGTTTTAATTATTGTTTATTTGTTTCTGTAGGTGTTCGCGCTATTTGACCGTGTGTTACTGATGGGAGAGGGACGAGTGGCTTACCTGGGTTCAACCTCCGAAGCTGTCGCCTTCTTCTCCGGGTGAGTGTTAAGGCTTAGTCTAGTCTTTCTCTCATTACTCCTGATAAAAGATAACAAAAAAGCGCTTTATATTCCTCATCCCTATCACTGAGACACATAATAAAGTTATGTATTGACTAAACACAGCCACAGACTAATCAGAGAATAGACAAAGCTAAAAACATAAACGAAATAGTTCCAGTGATGTTGTCTTTCACCTCTCTCAGCCTCGGAAAAAACTGTCCCAAGAACTTCAACCCGGCAGATTTCTTCATCTCTACCCTGGCTATTGAACCTGGCCGAGAGGAGGAGTGTCTAAAGTTCGTGGACTATGCCTCCGACGCCTTTGTCAACAGCAGCGCCGGCCAGCAGGTCTCTAAAACTGCCGCTGACAACAAGAACGCTCTCACCAATGGTCAAGCTCTTCACTGTGACCGTGTAGAGGTAAGATGCTGTTTTAGGGGTATATAGGGAGGAGTTAGTGTAGGGAGAAGTTAGTGGGGTGTAGGGAGAAGTTAGTGGGGTGAAGGGAGGAGTTAGTGGGGTGTAGGGAGGAGTTAGTGGGGTGTAAGGAGGAGTTAGTGGGGTGTAGGGAGGAGTTAGTGGGGTGTAGGGAGGAGTTAGTGAGGTGTAGGGAGGAGTTAGTGGGGTGTAGGGAGGAGTTAGTGGGGTGTAGGGAGGAGTTAGTGAGGTGTGGTATTCTGAATGTCTAGATTTCCTTTACATTTAACACAAGAGTAAAGTTTCTATTGTAATCTGAGGTAGGGAGAGAGGGAGGGAGAGATAGATAGAGGGAGAAAGGGAGGGAGGAAGGGAGAGAGAGAGAGAGTGGGAGGGAGGAAGGGAGGGAAAGACAAAGAGGGAGAGAGATGGGAGGGCACTGGTGATCCTGTGTTGTGCTTCACTTTTTAAATCCAGCAAATAAACAAAATCTCAGTGACCAGGAGACTGAGAGTGTTCAAGGGTATATCAGGTGCTCGAGTTTACCTAAATGCTTACCTCTTTTGTGGCCTTACAGGTAGCCAAGTCACCATACAAGGCTGGGGTGTTGACTCAGTTTTCCGCAGTTCTTAAAAGGTCCTTCTTGGCGAACATACGAGAGCCGATGATCCTCAGAACTAAGGTGTTCCAGACTGTTGTAAGTATATCACCTGACTTGACCTGACCTAATAATGTGGTGACCTTGACTGCATCTCTTATATATACAGCTGCTATAATTTAAATACATTATCCTGTTGTGATTTATAAATTTTGATATTTTACCTGATATTATTGAGCTGCAACTTGGGTAATAACCTATGTGTGTGTGTTAACAGTTAATCTCACTGCTGGTGGGGGTGATCTACCTGAACCAGGAACTTGACCAATCAGGAGTAACCAACATCAACGGCGCCATCTTTCTCCTGGTCACACAGATGAGCTTCACCAATGTCTTCGGTGTCGTCCACGTGAGTCTTAAATATAAAGTAAAAAGAATTAGTTTCGAATCAAGGTGACTCAAAACCCTTAGAAATACAATAAAACATCTATGTCACTCTACCAATAACTATTACAATATAACTATCGTAACTCTTACTTTTCGTCCCCTTGCCAGACCTTCTGTGCTGAGCTACCCATCTTTTTACGGGAGCATTTTAACGGGATGTACCGTGCTGGGGTGTACTTCATCTGTAAGAACTTGGCCGAATTGCCCCTGATGTTAACCCTTCCAGCTCTCTTCGCTGCCATCACCTACTATATGATAGGGTTATATTCGCCAGTAGAGAATTTTTTCATTTGTATGGCGATCCTAATTCTGACGGCTAATGCTGCTATGTCCTTTGGTAAGTGTGTTATAAGCTCTCTCTCTCTCTCTCTCTCTCTCTCTCTCAAAAGTGAAAAAACTCTCTCTCTCTCTCTCTCTCTCTCTCTCTCTCTCTCTCCCTTAACAGTGTAAACTCTCCCTCACTCTCTCTCACTCTCACACACAGGTTACATGATATCGTGCCTGGCACCGAACGTCCATCTGGCACTGGCACTCTCTGCTCCACTCATCATTCCACTTATGCTGTTTGGCGGATTTTTCCTGAACTCTGAGTAAGTAGAGAAGTGGTGAGGGGGAAGAGGGAAGAGGAGAGACAAGGGGGGGGAAGAAGGAAAAGAGGTAAGAAGAGAGGGTGGGAGAGAGGAAGAGAAGAAATGAGGGAGAAAAGAAGGAAAAGAGGGAGAAAAGAAGGGTTAGAGGGTGAGAAGAAGGGAAAGAGGGAGACAAGAAGGGAAAGAGGGTGAGAAGAAGTGAAGGAGGGAGAGAAGACATGAGGGAGGGAATGAAGAGATGAAGAGAAAATGCAAGATAGGGGAGGATGTCTGGAGAGGTGTGAGAGTTGGTGAGGCGTTGGTTAGATTGAGAGATGGCGGAAAGGAAGAAAAGGGAAGAGAAAGAAGAAGAAATAGAAAAAGATATAGGAGATAGTGAGGAATAAAGAGAGATAATGAAAAATGTGGAGAGAAAATGCTAATATAAATATAGATATACACAATGTATGAGTGAGTGAGTGAGTGAGTGAGTGAGTGAGTGAGTGAGTGAGTGAGTGAGTGAATGTATGAGTGAGTGAGTGAGTGTATGAGTGAGTGAGTGAGTGAACGTATGATAGTGAATGACTAAGGGAGTTAAGTGAATGAATGTATGAATGAATGAGTCACACACACCAAGGGTATCTAACCACGCCTCTTTCATCCCTTGACTACAGCTCAGTACCAGTATATTTCATATGGATCAAGTACATCTCGTGGTTTAACTATGGTAACGAGGCTCTGATGATCAACCAATGGGCGGATATTGATTCTATCGCCTGTTCCAACGAGAACAGCAGCCTCTGTCTCCATGACGGCCTGGAGGTACTCACAGCCCTGGGTTATGATGAGGTAAGTTAGAGGGTGGTGGGTGTGTTGGTCTGTAGGTGAGAGGTAGTGGTGGGTGTGTAGGTGGTGGTGGTGGTGGTGGGTGTGTAGGTGGTGGTGGTGGGTGTGTAGGTGGTGGTGGTAGTAGTGGTGGGTGTGTAGGTAATAGGTGGTGGTGGTGGTTATGGTGATGGTGGGTGTGTAGGTGATATGTGGTTGGGGAGGGAGAGGGAATAGGTACACTAGGTACCTCAAATCACTCAAATTAGAGTAGGGGTAAGTGGTAAGGAGGAAAATGGGGTTTAAGTGGTGGGGAAAGAATGAAGGAAAGAGAAGTGGTGGGGGGAAGAGGTAGTGTAAAGGATGTTAACAGGGAAAATATGATAATAAGCAAAAAATTAATTAATAGGAAGATGGTTTAATAGGGAGGTATGAAACCAATAGCCCCCTTTGCCCTACAGAGTTAGTTCAAGGGGATACTAATCAAAATAATGTATTTATCATGCTCTTACACCATACACTCACAACCAACTTTCCTTTCTTCTCTCTGCCGCAGGATAACTTGATTGTAGATGTCGGCGCCCTCTTAGCTCTGATAGTCGGCTACCGTCTCCTAGGATTCCTCTTCCTGTTGCTCAAGACGAGGAGGAAGTCAGTGACCCAGTATGATTAGGGAAAGTTCCAGAACTTATGATGGTGATGGAGGCAGTGGTTTACAATGTCAGGGAGATGGTGAGAAGGGAAAAACGACAATAAAGGAGGCTAGAATAAAGAGATGGAATGAGGATGACAAGTATAGCAGGAGTGATGAGGGTGGAACAACAAAGAAGACAAAGATGACAGAGAGAAGTGTGGGAGAGAAGGAATATAAGGAGGAAAGAGACACAATAGGAAAGGAGTAGAACTTGGTGGAAGAGAATATCTTGTAGGATACTTAAGAGACAGGATATTTAAAAACTTGTTTAGTCTTAGGATTTTGTCACCACTTAATTCTGTAAATATTAGTAGCTTAGTTACCATTGATGAAAGCTTTCTACATACCTTTTAAAAGAAAATGGAAACTGAATATCTTTCCCTTCAAATATGAATTGAGATGAAAAGAATCATTTCTTTTTTTATTTAATAATATTCTATGTACAGTATATACATATACAGTATATATATAAAAAAATTCCAGTGTTTTTGTAGTTGTTACTCATAAAATGGGTACAAATTTTAATAAGACTGTTTCTCTCAATATACTAAACAATATAGTACCTCTACTCAATATACTCTACACAAAATGAACAAATCAAAGTAGTTCACATGACATAACATCTGAATATAAACTTACCCGGTACTTCAATCTTCAATTTAGTTACAAGTGGAATAGATCCATAGTTTGTATGATAGTAATTTTATATATCAGCTTAAAATAAACCTAAGATATCAGTGATGGTATTTACATCATACTTACCTCCCTCAATCACTGCTGAACATGACCTGATAAACCCTGTCACAGCCTCCAAGATGATAGACACTTGTGGAGGTTTGCCAGAGGTCTTTATCTGCGGAACATGTCTTCTGAAAAAGTAATAATAATTTGTTACTATTATTTTATATCTTCAATTTAAACAATTTTCCAAAAATTTACAATTATTTCATGATTATCTTTAACTTATGTTACTTGTGATAATAAAAGATGAACTATTTTTTCTGTGAAATTCAACTTACATAGCAAAATCTCACTTCTGATTTTCCTCGCATGACGTCATCACTCACCTGCCAAATATCAGAAATTTTTGGCAGCCTCATGGACACAACATTCACCTCCTGACCCACGAGTTGCTGGTTTGTGCCCGCTGTTTGCTAATTCATCCACTGGTGCATGGGTGATAAACTTTACAGCTGGAGCCATGTGCCAGCCACACTGTCTCCTTGTGTACTGACGAAGGCATGTACTGCGTGTTCTATTTCTTCTACTGGACTTGCATTCAATTTCAATTACAGTACTCTTCTTTATATTCCCCACACTTATACAAGGTATGATCCAAAAGTTCCCAGACTTCCACTGAGAGAAAGGATGAAAATGTCCAGGAGAATGACCAGCTTGTCCACGAAGATTGTAGGGTGACCATCCACGAGAGTGCCGAGCGGTTGGACCTCTCATATGGAAATGTCAAGCGGATTCCGACTGACGACCAGCAATTGGCTGCTTCACGAGGACAATGCACCTGCGCACACTCTCTCCTCTCTGTGAATGATTTTCTGGTGAAGCACAACATCTCAGTGGTCCCCCACTCTCCAGATCAGCCCCCTGTGACTTCTGGCTGTTTCTGAAGTTCAAGTTGAACCTCAGGGGGAAGAAGTTCATAGAGAGAATGAAGATCCAGGAAAAATCGCATGTGTTCTTCAGCCTCACCAACGAGGACTTCAAGATCTGCTTCCAGAAGTGGGACGAGCAGATTTAGCACTGCATTGAGACCTCTGGAGAATATTTTAAGGGTGACTAAAGTTTCACTGTAATATCTTGAAAAATAAAGATTTATGAAGCCAGTCCGGGAACTTTTGGTTAGCACCTCGTATATTTAACAGACTTATTGATTGAAATTGATCACAAGTTAATCTGTCTCTCTCCTGAAAAAAATTAGAACGCTACTGAAAATTTTGAGACTACACACACACATGCACATCAATCCACATCCACCCACACAAATTCTTAATATTTAGGGTAAAAGAAAATACTGGAAAAAGAAGTTACCTTTTTTATTGTGAAGACTGCAAAAATGGAAATAGAAATATTCATCTGGGTACTCTATATTAAGATTTAAACATATGTGTCTTTACAATATCTTAAAACATCAACATCAAAAAGTGAAAGAAATGGGAAAGAAAAAGATTCTTTCTCAAGGACACATACACACACACACACACACACACGATGACGCACATATATACACAGCTATACATGACATTGATATGATTCTATTCTTGGCATAATTTGAGCAAGATGACAGTAGTGTGAAAGACAAGTGAAATATAGGCTATGTTTGAGGAAAATAAAGATATATGGCAATAAAAGAGAAAGAAAGGGATAATATGCAGTAAATATAGACCTTAAGAGAGAGGTGGAAGATAACAGTGTGAAGATGAGTGAAATACTGTACAAGAAATGAGGTAAATAAAGAACAGATGCATAGAAAAAGAGAGAAAGAGAAAGTGAAGATAAGAAAATATACAGTAAACATGAACTTCAATAAGAGAGTAGACAAATATCCCACCTTACAATACAGTATAGATTTTTAAAAGTGAAAAGAAATATGTATTCAAAATTCTGGTATAAGTAAGAGGTACACTCACTGCAAAAAGTATCTGCAGATTTTTAGGGCTAGACAATATGACACAACGGGCGAAGGATTTTGACAACACTACCGAGACAACAGGAATCAGTGTTCATTTTGACATCCCTCAGACCCCACCTTATAGATACTTTCTGTAGCGGATATACATACGATCTTTACTGTATACAGAGGGTCCTTGAAAAACAATACCCAGCTTCTCATATAATACAGTGTAAACACTTAAAATATATGTATTCTTTTTCAACGACTCTGTATACCAACACCAAATTTTTTTTATTATCTTACAATAGTAGAGACAAAAAGCCATTCAAAATGTTGTTCTATTATTATGTTTATATATACTGTATATATTTGGACATTTAACATAATACATTCAGTCATTATGATTTATAGGGTCAGGCACAGCTCATATTGCTGCTCACCATTTGCATATACAGTACCAATACATCACTAACGACTCAAGATATATATGATTACCACTGTTTTAATATTTTTCAATGTTGTATAGAGCTGACATAAGTGACCATAAATTGATTATAAACTATACTTGAGAATTGTAATGCATTCTATTTCATATATTTTTAAAACAAAACGTACGGGAGTTAATTGATTATTGGGGTGAAGTTCTGCATATAATCTTTGAAGGTTATTTACTGGCTGTAATCTTCCAAGGTAAAAGAATTAACATTAATTCTCCTTATAAAATATAGTTATGGAACTACTGTATACAGTCTCATCAAGTATATAAAGTGTGAATATTTTCCGTCATGACTTCAACTTAACATTTTTTTCTGCAGAATATCATAAAGAAAAATAAACATAACATCTGTGTTTCTTTAAGATGTTGTTAAGTTTATTGTCAATGTTTACACTATCAGATTAATATTAGTCCTTGGAAACTGAATCAAAATAAAATAAATGTACAATAAGGGAATATAGGGAGAAATATTGTTACAGTAATTCTTTAATAATTTGTATGTCTTGTGTAGATGAGTTAAAATATACTACGTATATCATTGTGAGATGGACAGAGAGAGGAGGGATAATGTTTGGCCTTCACTTTATAATATTACCTTAAAAGCCTTGTCTTATATTTCTGGCTTGAGTAAATTCTTACTACACTACAGACAAAAGGTATTACAATTCTCTCAACACAATTACAGACTTCAGGCAAAGCCAAAAGTGTGTGTTTGTGCGTCCTGACATGGATTTACCTAACTTTTAAGGCAGTACAACAATAATAATAAAAAAAAAACATATATAACTTGGCCAGTGAAAGTTGTCAGCTTAATTTTCCTAACAACAAATAATTTATCAGTTTTTGAACAAGCATTAACACTAAATATGCTCATATACTTACACTATAATTAAGTGATTTGTGTTTACGAACTGTGAGAACAAACCTTCATCCCCCTAAGGGATATGTAATTTCACACACTGAAGGAGAAAAGAAACGATAGTCATATACAGGCAGTCCCCGAGTTACCAACAGGTTATGTTCATGGATCCTGTTTGTAAGTCTAAATATTCATACGTCAGAACAGTGCTAATTCCTTAGGATAGGTTAAGTTAAAGCACAACCCTGCCTATATATTAATATCCCATACATAACAAATGTAAATAAAGTGATGTTAAACAATATAGAATAATGAAATAAATTTAAAAAACAGGATTTTAGTTTCAGATTATTGTGATGAATGTATTGGGATCCCATTCGTAAGTGACGGTGTTCATAAGTCAACTTTTCATAACTCGGGGAGTGCCTGTACAGTAAAGTACAGTAGTATTGCTTCAAGATGAAGGACGGGGTCTTATGTATATATGGTAGCTCTGGCTCTAGCACTAAGGTAAGGACGGGCTTTAGAACAGTGGACAGTTTCTGAAAACTGGAGGGAACAATGCCTCACACACTGACGACACCCATGAAGGAGGACGGACCAAGGTCAAGAATGGAATAATCTACTGCAGGCGAAACGATGAATAATTTATTCCAGTCACTTGGGGGAAAACAATTGCTTTTGACTGTTTTCAATTTGTTATTGAAGGCTTTTGTTTCCATATGTTACTTAGATCATCATGTTTGAAATAGTGACACTAAACAAAGAATCTGAACATACACATCTCTATGGATTAACCTAACAATGTGAATTTGGATCCTTAAAAACCTAGAGGAAAATATAGCAAAAAATGCTCCCAACATTTTCAAATTCTTGCCAAACAAATATTAAATCTAATTCTTGCAAATCTTTCCTTGCCATGAATACCTTCTGTTTAAAACTTGTGGCACAACTTTTTTTATTCATATTAGATTTGGAACCTTTGTGTGTTAATATTACAGGGAGTTGTTTTCTGGATACTGGACTGCACCAAAATATCTTCAATACAGGAAAAATATTACACTAAATCCTGTTATGTAATTTAGTGAGACAAGGGGTTAATTAACATGAGGTGATGGACGGTTGTATCAAATTAGATACTGAACTATGATACAAACGAGGGTCTTTACAATCATACGGTAATGTAAACAAATATAGTTTGCCTTCTAGCTGAGCCTAAAATCATGACTGCAATTTTTTTTCAGGTGTATAGATGATATAGACAATTTACATGTGCTCCGCAGTTAACCCTTTCAGTGCGATGCCAACACCCTCCCCCCCCCATGAGTACAGTAAATTAGTTTATTGATTAAGATGGGTTAAGTCATCATACTCAATGGTTTAAGTTATCGTACTCAAATGATAAGTCATCACACTGAAGGGGCAACGGGGATGAATTTGTAGCTTGTTGGCGAAGAGGAGACAACACGCAAAATGGCAGAGGAATACGAGAAGAAAAGTGTGTACAAAATCCAAACTGCGGCAACAGGTACTACCAATAACACACCGTGATTGTTGCTACTCTCTGGGAATATTCAAATACTGTAGTACAATCTATAAGACAAAGTAGGACTAACTGAATGTTAACATGGAGATCAACACAAGCTAAGAGTTCAGGAAAAATTAAATTTGTTTATGAATAAGACAAAAGACTAAGATGTAATATCCTATTTTATGGATGAGGAAGAAAAACAAGCAGCTTATAAGATGATGCTCTCTAACGTCAACCCATTGGCAGTGCCTCTCTAGTCCAGGATGTCTTGTGTTCTGTCAACAGGCAACATTGTCCTGCTCAACAGCCTCAGGGGAAGAGTGGTCAGGCAGCACTGTCTGAACGTGTTATTCTGCTGGGCCTTGTTTGGTCCTCGGTTCTGTTAGGCGCTTCCCGTATCTATCAGGCTCAGACGGCGGGATAGGAACTTGATTTTATGGCAATGAATTCTTTTACTATGGCTTGTGTACAGTACCTTGGTCTGAGATGCATGTGTCAAATAACTCTATTAAGACTGAATTGAGGAAAAAATAAATAAAAATATCAATATACTGTACAAATGGTTGACAAACAACTGGTGGTTCTATAAACTGGGGTTACTGAAACAGACCAAATGAATTTAACCCCATTGGTGTTTGTTGCAAAAGCCAGAAAGCTGACAAGTCATTGAACCATTTTATTTCATGCTTAACTGACTGAGAAAATGACAGAGCTCCCAAGGCAGTCTCAGCAGATGTGTGTACAGCATCTTGAGCAATACAGATTGGAAAAGTCTCCTAAACATTTGATACACCATCACGCATCCCATGGTTCTACCTTGTGAAAACATCAACACCTACTAAAAGAATAACAAAAACATGACATAATAGTCACACCCACTGTTCACCTCATAGTAAAGATGCTACAGTATATTATATAAACACTGTTAAGAATGTTACAGCCACCAAGTAAAGAAACAGAGTGAACATAGCACTCATACCCGGAGAGATCCACAAGGTGTTGAAGAGTACTATATACTGACAGTGGTGAAGGGTCAGAGCTAAGGGTCCCATATAATGGTTGATTGAGGTTTCCAGATGAGGAAGAATTGGTCTTAGTGTTCAGGCACAGTGACTTGTCAATTTGTTGTGTTTCAAATCACCTACTGAGTCAGAGTTCAATGCTCTGCTTAACAATCCTCAACTCCTTGGGTGAGCAGATGTGAGAGAGTAACACATAATAACCAGATAGGACTGTTACTTTGCTGCTGGAACTTTAATCACTTGGACAAACAGTGAACCTAAGAACACTCACTTAAGAATCTTAGTTATTTAAAACACAGTAACACATTATAACATCAACAAGTGGCATCTCGCAGGTAACTCATCCACTGACCAAACCTTAGGGACGTTTCCAAAATATTGTGTATTATGAAAAAGTTCCAGTGAATGGTTCCTTTCTATGCTACTCCTCCTGCCTCACTGCACTGCAGATGGTGATACACTCACGGTCTTCCTCCAGTCTGCAATACAACACAATCAATCCATCAACTCTTGTCACAGTCATACCGGCACTTCCGTAGGCTAAACCAGAAGTATTTATTGTCACTCGGAGTGCCAATATTGACCGAAAATACTGATAATACCCTGAGTGCCACTAATGAACCAGAGTGCCACTATTGACCCAGAGTACTGATAATACCCTGAGTGCCACTATTAACTGGGAGTACTGTAATACCCTGAGTGCCACTAATGAACCAGAGTACCACTAGTGAACCAGCATACCAACAGTAGCCCACATCACTCACGTAGTTGGCACCAATACAAGCATAGTAAACCAGTTAACAAACCTATTGGACCCTGTTACATGGCAGCTGATGTTAACTCATAGCTATTAACTTTGTACATATATTAACATCAGCTATTAACTTATATACATTTTAAGTCTCAGTTTTTTAGTTCTAGAAATTACAGTATCATCTACAAAAAATATTATCATACTGCTGTACATGTTCTCAAGTTTACATCACAGACATAAATACAAATATAAATGATTATCAAAGTCATACTTAAAAACTATATGTTAATCTGAAAAAATCTTAACTTTTATGGTTAATGTTAAAGAATAGAACAATTTGTCTTATTTTTTTGTTCAGATTGAGGATGATATCGTTCAGTTTGAGTTAATTCTTAGGTTTATAATTTAATTTATGAATATTTCAACTGTGTAAAAATAAAGCTTATTAAATGAATTCCTAATATTTGATTTTCTCTATGATATTTATTAGGAAGTTATCACAAGCTGTGTTATTTTTTGCTGGGTGGCATTAATGTTTATAAACTTTAAATATAGAATCTTTACCATTATCCTAATCATACTTATTCAAAATCGCCAACAGCTAATTAAAGTGGTCAAAACATCCAATTATGAATTAGTTTTCGTTATCAAAATCTTCATAGTAATAAACTCAGTATTGTACAAGGTAATACTAGGGCTTAAGTTAACTATACATTATGTACAATGTTGATGCTCTGAAAACTGTATTAATTTCCACTTTTCTCTTTCATGAACTTCTGACATGTTCTTAACTACACTTCTTCTCTCATTATATAATTGAGATTTATTTCTGTTTCTAAGTAATAGACAATTTACACACTACCGGGTAATTTATCTTATTTCCTGCTGCAGCACCAATTGTCTCCCGGGCAGTACTTCACCCTCTGTCTGCAGCTGCTCGGGTCGACACTTTGACTTAAGGTAATGACAAGTGTTTCTTCTCATACCTGTTGTGGTATTGTCTTTTGTATGACTTCCAGATAGATTCATTTATGCACCTTCTATGATCAGGCATCATTGTTACATTTAACCAAGACAGTTTTCACTTCTTGTGGTTTTGATTTTCCCCCCCAAAAAACAAATGGTTCTTGGGCTCAACTTTAAAGCGTTTACGTACTAGTTGGACTCCCCGTGTTGAGCTTCATTTAAATTATCTTCTCATAGCACCGTTCTGCCTAAATCCATAATTACAATATGTGCACTCTGCGTGTTGATCAGCAGTGCTTGGAAGTGAAGAAATTACCACTAGAAAATAAGAGAATGTCTCCCTGGAAAGTGGTCACTATAACCTCTCTCTCACTCTGTGGACTTTCACCCGACAACACAACACAACACATCACCTGGTAAAATTATGGGCACTTCTTCCTGTTTTACTTGATGGACACTGTAATTCTTCTATGTTTTTCAACTGAAAGACGGCTGCGTCTTTCTTCTCTCTACTCATGGTCTCTTAGGCTCGTGCCGCTGGGAGAGAACCAGCAGGCGGCGCTGGTTATCAATCACCTGAAGGTTCCTCACATACACTCGGATTTCATTTTCATTTTTAGGCACTGCCGGAACCTCGAGGGCTGTAAAGAAAAAGTATTATGTATTACCTGTGTAACTGATAGTAAGTGTCAATTGTCTTTTAATTTCTTTTAAATAAGAGTCTAATGTTTTCTAAGGTTCACATTACCTGCCTATCTTAAAATACCATATTTTACAGCATATACGATGCACTTTTTTGTCTGATAAATGGCTAAAAAAATCAGCCTGCATTCTAAATGTGAAGCTGCAGTCTCCCGTAACTTAATGAATTCTCCAGCTGGTGATACAAATGAATATTTACAATTAACTTTCTTTTCACATTTGCATCTGCTAACATCACTCATGGCATTGTAGCCAGGTTAGACTCATCACTGTAGCCACCAGGCTACTAGGCCAAGCTGTGAGGTATTATGGTTGTGTTTCAACTCGTATTTTCGGTAGATATATGCAACTTTCTTCGTTTATTTTTACTCAGTTACATACACACACCATCCTACATACATATTGTGAAAGAAAATAAAAGAAATAATTGTCCTAAGGGCTACACAAAAAGGGAATATTATACATTTCTTTGCACATGAGTTAGCGTGAGGAGGGCGGGGAGTGTGTAGGGGAGCATTGCTAGGGAATCGGCAGAGGTAGCGTCCCTTCTGGTCTCTGTTGCTATGATGAAGCAAGGAGTAGGGTATATGCAAATGGTGACTGTGTTAAACTTTCATTTGGCTTTCATTTACTTGTTTGACAATACAGAACAGTATTGTATTTTTTGTTGTAACTTATTTATTGGTATTGTTATTTATTTATTCCTCACAATTACTGGTACTGTATATCATTTTAAGAAAACTATGGCTACAGGAGGAAAATAATGCACACACAAAAGTTTTTTCCTAAATACTCCCTGTGTCTCATATGGCCTCATGTCTTATATGCCATAAAATACATTAAGTGTTTCTTATTCCTCAAATCAATTCCCTGACTATAAGGAGGGCACAATAAAGTAGGGATGCTACGGTGACATTATTACTTGACCGGTCATGTTCAGTCATAATAGTGGAGGGAGTTTATTGTGTGTTAATCTGGTGTACTGTTGGTTAGTTTAAGTCACCTGAACACCTGTGTCTAACAAACATCTTCTCTTATTCAGCAAGTTGTTATCATTTCAGCTTAAAATATATATGAGGTAGAACGTATATGTGAATTAGACTTTCCTATACATTATAGTTAATTACTGATTGACTATTGAAGCTTAGTAAAGCAAGAAGTTAGAATTATTTTGGTACTAAATTTAACTACTGGAAATTCTAAGTGTAGTTAATTGAATCACTAAATGTCAGTTTTATTCAATGTTTCAACTGATATATTAATCAACTGAAATACTGTACATCATAAAATTGATTTACTCTTAAGTGACTTGATCAAACTGCATACAGGTATTTATTAAACTGATTATCTTCAATTCACTAATATTAAATCATGTCATGCTGTTTCCAAAACCAAAATACAAATTGTTTAGGTACACACAATAAAAACAAGTACCCGGTATCTTTATGGAAGGGTCCGATGAATTTCAAAATGAACACTGCAACTTGTCTAGGTAGGTTTGTCATCTTAAAACTGAAAGTGGGTCCCATCAAACCCAACTTAAAATAAAACACACGAGAAATCCCTCATCGCTATAAAGAACTAAGTAAGGAGTTGGAACAAGTAGTCAAAGGTTGTTACCAGGTGAGATTGGTTCAGCAGGTAAATACTGTAACAAGTACTGTACTATGACTCATTAAGTGGCCAGGAACCACAATGAAAAACTCAAGAAATCTTACACATGTGCAAAAATTTAATCAGAAAAGGTAGCAAATGTTGTTACCAAGTGAGGTCAGTTTTGTGGGCAAGTAATGTATTAAGTGTAGTCTAGTGATGTGTACAGAGTAGGACTCACCTAGTGGCCGGGAACGACAGTACCGAATAGTCCTCAGTGTCTGTGCCAACATGTGCATCTTCTCAAAGTTGACCAAACCTTCCATTAGGGTGCGGTTTCCTTCATGTGTAAAAGTCATATCTGGGGGAGAGTGGAGGAGTTACAACCAACACCTGACCAGCTACAATAAGAAAAAGTAAAATAATGATATAGTTTCTTTAGCTTATAAAATATTAAGACAAAGTAGACAATAATAATATGATATAAGAGCATTTTATGGTATATGATGTTTGATATGTTCTTCTAGAGTTTAGTGTTAAAAATGTTAAGAATGACATGGACTGGAAAGAAAAAAAATCCCCCTTTAGTCCATCTCCTAGCATATGCACAACCCCCTTCCCCAATACATATACACTGTACGTACCCCTCTAACTCCCCCATCAATAAGTTTACACATGATTCTCCAACACCTCCACCAATAGAAATAAATAAAATAAGGCAAAATTAAAACAAAAATAAAATACAATACAAGCTGAAGATAAGATAACCATGATAGAAGACATGTTACCCTTCATCAGGAGTGGTGTGAAAGGCAGGATAGGTGGGAGGAGTTTGGCCACGTAGATTCTGTACGCGCGATGGTTCTTCGATGGGTCAATCAACATCTCAAACTCTGTGTACATCTTACGAAACCTGAGGGCGGGGAGATATGTTAATACCTCTCTTGAAGTAGTAATTGAGGAGGAAGAAGAGGAATAAGAGGAAGAAGAAGAAGAAGCCGTGAGGATGAATTACCAAAGGACAAAATAACAATTGTTAATACAGTTTCCAGTACTAATTTAGGTTTAAATATCTGATGTGACATAGATGAATAATATTGAAATAGTCAAGATAGTGTATAACCTTTGAAATGGCTATAAATTTCAAATGAATGACATACAGGATGACTTCAAGACTCCTTCATGACTTTTGGTGACAGAGTGTAAAGTGATGGTAAGGTTACTCATATAATATTTACTCCATAATAAAATCTGGTGAAAAAAATAGATTAACTTGGGCTCAAATATAGAATTCATATACTTTTTCCCAGATCCCCACAATAAGTATTCCTATACCTGTAATTGTGTGGCTGTAGAACTATGATTTACTTTACAGGTAAGGAGAGTTACCTTGATCAAGAGACTTAAGAGTAATACATAATTAGCATTTTGGTTTACAGAATATCTTACACCTGGAGGCCATGACAAACGACTAAAACCGAGTCTTTAATTACTCTGTTATCTTCTCTTAAAAATATCCTCCCTTATGGTAGTATAGCAGTACAGTATTTACAAACATCAATATCACTGCCATCGTCTATACAGTTACCCATAAACACACATTACCACTGCCAATAATACTATAAAAGTAAACTCACCTTGATGACAGTCGCTCCCAGGTCTGTGTGAGGCGTGAGATTGCAACATTGCTCAAGCCGATGACGATGGCGAAGAAAGCGTTCAGATTTTGGTGTTCCTTACAGCTACAAGAGGAGAGAATATTAGTTTGTGCATAATGGTGTGTGTGTGTGTGTGTGTGCATGAGGGTTAGCTTATTGTGTACTGAATAGTGTGGAAATAATAACACTCTAAATGTACATAGAAGAAAACATCCTTTGAACATACAATTCTACACAAAATAATTTTATTTAAGTCTTGGTATGTTGTAAAAAAAAAATGTGTTATATACGACAAATTATATTATAATCTACTTACTAAGCTGCCAATTTGATGAACTTCCTGAGTAGTTGGGTACGTTTAGACAGTGCATTAGCAAGACAGATCTCCGTCACCACCCAGTACTGTATCTCATTGAACCGGCGTAAGAATACATCCAGGTTACACATGACCTGCCCGAAGTGGTCACGTCCGAACACCTGATACAGGAACTCATACTGTCGAGGGTCAAACGTTAGATTAATTGACCTTTAATTAATTGCTTAAAGACAGGTGAGACAGGTAAGCCTTGTTTTATGGATTGATATTTACAAAGTTATTTTTAAATATATAGATAAAAGAATAAATGAACACCTTAATATTTACATACATGCTCACACACTCACTCTCACTCATGCAAAATATAGAATGGGTTAACTTTTTTTTAGACACTCAAGATAAGAAATACCAGTTGAATATTTTAGTATTCAGTAAAGCTCATTTCTATAAAAAAACATGATTAGCTTTTGACAACAGTGAGAAAATTAGCTGTGGGAACTGTTGCTGTGAAGGTGTGTGTGTGTATGTGTGTATGTGTGTGTGTGTGTGTGTGTGTGTGTGTGTGTGTGTGTGGTGAGGATCAAAGTTTCATCATTACAACTAGGCTAACATTCTACCTCCATTTAATACTGTTATTTTACAAATATAATCAAGACATAAATTAAGTCTATATGTTGTCTAGCTAATAAAATGTATATGTGTACGAGAACAGTGTTTTTACTTTGCCTAAAAATGGATATAATGGAATAACAAAACACCACTTGTGAAATAGGAGTGGAACCTTACACAACCTAACCAAATATTAATCTAACCTAATCTAACCAAATCTAACTTAAATTACAGCTAATATAGGACTGGTCATCATCAGCAGTTCAGTAAGTATGGAGAGTGTTTTTAGACACAGTTTTCTAAGCTGATTACTTTCACTTCTGATCATTTTCTTGGCCAAATGATTAGTTTTCAATATATAGGCGAGTTAAAATAACATCTTACAGTCACTTAATCAGCTGTGATGTGGCAGATGTAAACAATGTACCATGACCATCAAGGGGTTTAGTAATTACAGTATAAAGGGCGTGACCATTAGTGGTTCAGTAATTATTAGAGTGCTTTAGACACAATTTTGTATGCTAATTTTACACCCATTTTCATTCAAAAACAGATGATCATTCTCCACATAATTGTCTAATTTATTATAACCAAACCTTCCTTATTCTTATTTAACCTTACCAAACCTGATCTAATCTATCAAAACCTAACCTAACCTAACCTAACCTAACCTAACCTAACCTAACTCGACCAATATACTGTACTAGGCTTCCTAAAAATTCTGAAATCCATTTATTTTTCTCATTTTTTACTGATAATCTGGAATGTGAAATTAATTTTGCAAATATTTACTATTTAATTAAGTTACATTATGTGAAATATTTGCTATTAAAATTTCTATAGTTAAGGTTAATTTATTTAACATAACTGTCCTGAATTAACTACATGATAATTATTCTATGCATAGTTATTATTATTATTATTATTATTATTATTATTATTATTATTAGTACTACTACTACTACTACTACTACTACTTTATCTTTGCAATCAATAGTTCAGACAATTTTAAGATCTCTCTTAATTTACTTTAGTTACCTTTATCCCGCGCAAATTCCCTAGATTGTTATTATTTATTGTTATTGTTAGCCATTTAATGAACGTGATACTCACTTGGCTTCTTTAATACTACGACAGCACCTTTAAACTCATTCAAAGTCATTTAATTTTGACTTTTAAATTCATTCATAGTTATTTAAACCAGGCTTTACCCTCTTCCATGGGCTGTTTATTTACATCCGTTTTCTTAATTGCGATTAAAGAAAATGGAACCTCTTTATGGGTGACCCCTTTATATATTATGGTTATGAGCTATACCACTTTTATTTGATTAAGATTTGTTTTGCTGAGTACAATACTGCATTAAAGAAAAGCATTGGGATATTCTAATAAAAAGGGCATGTCTGGACACCCAGGACCTCATGGATCCGCCTCTGGATTTTAAGAAATTGCAATTATTTTATTTTAGTGTACTTGGTTATATTTTATCCTCTTCACCACTGATTGGCCTGTTAGCTACTTGGGAGGTCAAGTCATGTCTCTGTTTGGTGCTGTTGGTACTGTGGGCATGTACTGGCTCTCTATTATGTACTGTTGGCAACTATATGTGCATGGTGAGGGAGTGTGTGTGGTGAAGGAATATGTTTGTGTGGTGAGGTAGTGTGTGCGTGGTGAGGAGAGAGAGTGTATGTAATTTGGAAGTGTTATGTTTGGTTAGATTAGATTAGGATACTTTAGGGTTAATTTTTGGTTAGGTTGGGGTAGTTTATGCTGGCTTTGGTTTAGTTGGGTTATAAATGGTATAAAATTCTCCAACACAAGCTAAATTTTGTGGTCCCTTTACCTCGTGGATGGCGCTAAAGAGATCCCAGTCGTGAAGGGTGATGTGGTAGGCCAGTTCCCGGGTACTGTACATCTCGAGTTGGTTGATGCTGCCCTCTGACGGACCTTCCTGTTCTGGGAGGGGCATCTGAGGGACATAGTGAATGGGTAGAGGGGTAGTAGAAGAGTAGAGAGGGTAGTGGAGAGGGGTAGGTACAATAATGAGTTGATTATCCACTAAGCTGCAAGTTAGTCTACACACTACTGCACCCAGAGTATTAAAATCAGTATTAAAAAATCACTGAATTCCTATAAATAACACCAAGAGTAAAGATGGACTAAACCAAAGAACAGACTTTTCCCCTCCAACATAGATATCATGATATAATGTACATTTATTTGGGTTTATCAATAAATGTATAATAATTACTTAATAAAAAAAATACAAGAGAAAATGCATAAAGATTAGGGAGTAACTATAAGAGATTGTGGATACAGTACTACAAATCAATTACCTGTACAAATATTCAAACCTAATCCTTCACTTTGTTACTTGGCTGAAGAATAATGTCCCCTAACCCCACAAGTATCAAATAATGGTAGATTGGACATAAACAAAGAGAGAAAAATCAAGAAAAAGAAGTAAATAATAACAAGAAAAGTGGAGGGAAGGCATACCAGGGCGTCGAGGTGGTCCTTGTTCGAGATGAAGAGTCTGCCATTGAGGGTGAGACCTGTAGGAGGGCAGACCTCTTTCTCCCGTAGAGGTACCACTTCACCTACAGGGGTACAAGTCACAGGGAGAGCAGGGTTAATGGCAAGGGAATCAGTGTTAGTGGTATCAATATTAACATTACTACAGTATGATGTAAATACAGCAAACAAATGGATAAAAATTCCATGACTGTAGAACTGAGCTCCACCTGTAGACACCTGTAGGCTTGAGCTCCAGCAGGCAGGAATTATCACTAACACACCTGTAATTTTTAGCTCCAGATTATCACTAACACACCTGTAAGTTTTAGCTCCAGCAGGCAAAGATTATCAATAACACACCTGTAGACTTTAACTCCACCAGCAGTAAGTTCTCCTGACGAAGACCCAACTTATCGGCAGCTGACCTCTTAATAACATCACTAGTAGTCTGCAGAGAGAACCTGAGAGTGCAGTAGGTATGGTCGGCACAGTACACACGAAAGATAACTGCAAAAGAAGGGAGAAATTAGCAATGGATGATAAAAGGATAATAATATATGAAGATAATAGTGAGTATGATAATTAAAGTAAAATAAAGGAAAGAGACACTCATAGAAAATGGAAGATAGAAATGGGAATAAAATAGGAAATTGCTCTGAAAAATGATGATGGAAAAAGAAGTGAGATGGGAAAGACAAGATAATGAGACAGAAAGGTCAAGAAGATAAACAAATGGAGACACAAAGTGGTATTGGTAATATAGAAGTACCAAAGAACAATACATAAGCCAAACACAGCCTTATCCTCCTTGGAAAGTTAAGTCTTCTACAAAACCAAATTACAAAAGAATTTCAGCAACAATGGTATTAAAATAACACAAAAAATCCATAAAAGTAACATGGATGAATTGCAAGTGTCAAAGTATGAAACACTTTTATTTATTCTCAAGTTATTGTTGACATTTATGGAGATTAGTTGTCATAGTTTAAAAAGAGTAATATTGGCGCTGTAAACATGAGCAAGTTGGAAGTAGTAAACTTAGATTTAGTGTTTGTGTGGAGTTAATGAAGGTTTTGTTATTGATGTGGCAGCCAAATACAATATGAGTTTAAGAGAGGGAAGGGAGTCTGGTTCAAGGGCTCTGACGTCATCAGTTTCACCGGGTCATTAGTTTAAAATTGGAGAGAAGTAAGGTCGACGAGGCATAGAAATATTACATTTGTTTCATGATATTAATTTATAAATGGACATTACATTGAAAAATATCTCATAGTAAAAAATATTAGTACATTAATATATTTCATGAATGAACATTGCACAGAGAATAAACTTATAATTTAGTAAAACATAATAGAAAATACAGTAGTATATATGACCCGTTTTATATACTGTAAAAACCAGATATATACACCAAGGTATATTGTATGCTGGTTATGTAAGGCCTTTACTTTACAATCCTCTGAGTGACAGTTCATTAAGGAGATTAAACTTGATTACAGTAAGCACTGGTCTAAATACTGAAAACATTAAACACGCAATATTTCTAACTTATTTGGAATTCGTGTTAATAAATTTAGGTTCAAGGTTCCTCTACACTTGTGATGCTGTAGCGTATATAGATATGGCAATTTGGGTATTATAACTCTCTACATTATATAGGAAATAAACTAAAAGAGGAAACAGATGCACAACAGCAGGATCATATCAGACTGTGGGGCTACAACTCATGGAAGGCTTTGAGGGTACAGATAATGCAACATTGACGTGCTCTGTACAGTGCAACATAAACATCAACAGCTATACTTGCAAATAAACTTTACTCTTTAAGACAATTGTAGGAGGAGTTGTGGCAGGTATAACATAATAAGGTTCACTAGCAGGCAGATTATAAGGCAAGTCTATACTACATACCATCGAGACTACTTAACAATAGCTATCAATAGAAGAGAATAACACGAGCAAAGATATAATGTATTACACTCTTAGTCCCTTGGAGCAGGTAATGGGGAAACAAGCTGCAAAAAGTAAGGAAGATTTCTACCGGAATGATGACTCTTAAGAATACCAACTCGGTAGAAATGAACGACTTGGCTCTCAGCAGGTCGCCCTCCACATCCAAGGATCTCAAGAGGGCTAAGAGACGTGACCAAGGCAGAGCAATACGTTACCGGAAGAGCACATCAAGGGGTGAGACAGAGAAACGTCGGGGGTCATGCCGCTGCCCTTACTGTCGTCCTGCGCTCGCATTCCCCTGTGCGGATCCAATGTGTCGTCTGTCGATGGCACCCCGAAGAGACTGATGGGTCGTCCGCTAGTCGGAAGCTTCCACTTACTGACCCCCGAGCTGGAACAATCTCTCTCGTGACGCTCTAAGGCTTCAGCCACGCTCAGCATCAGGGTGGCTTCATCTCGCAGGGCCACCCCATAGACCTCCACATCCTTGGCTACCTCCTCCTGCAGCGTCTGAAGGAGGAAGGAGGGGGGGTATTAAATAAAGTAGTGGAAGAGGTTAGCATGTGAGTTGTATTTGAATAGAGGAATGAGAAAAGGAAGACATAATGTATGTGTGTGTGTGTGTGTGTGTGTGTGTGTGTGTGTGTGTGTGTGTGTGTGTGTGTGTGTGTGTGTGTGTGTGTGTGTGTGTGTGTGTGTGTGTGTGTGTGATAATAATAATAATAATAATTAATACAAATAATTAATGGTTTATTTAAAGACCATGACAGCCAGAAGGATGAAAATATAAAGTTACATAATTGGGGAACGGATCACTTGATTGACAAATAATATACAAGTAACATAAGTAATGCAAATATATATAATAACTAGGTGGGGAGAAGGTCATACTACAGGGCATTTCAACGTAGTAACAGTGCAAAAAGGTAAGAGTGGCTGGAAGTGAACACACACACTGGTTGACTACAAGTTGTTGATAATTTTTAGAATGGTTTGTACTGGGCTGTTCTAATAGTGATCAGTACGTGCTCTCTCTCTCTAACAATGGCTAAACATACAAATAAAAACATAATATGGAGAGATAGGTTTATTATAGAGACTTAAATATTGTTGAAGGTTAAAAGTTAAAAAGTGAAATTAGCATTAACAGATTTAAGAGTCAAACCCTTACATTTACAGTTCAGTTAACACAGCTGTGGCGACTTAATTACTTATCCTGGTACAGTTTTTTTTATGTATTTTTTTTTTGTTTTGCTTCTGCATTCAGACAATGGCATAAAGGAATACATTTAAATCAAAATTATTAAAAATCCTTCTACATTACACCAGTGTTTATACATGGAGGATATTTGTATTTGGAACCAAAGTATGGGAGATAATGTAACAGGAATATTATTTGGTGAAAGAAAACGGAAATAAACTAAAGGTCAGAGGTAAAGTTATAATGATTTTACATTTTGAAGGCCACAGATGAACACTATTACAGGGAATACAACAATCCTGTTTGAAAATGGAATTGGGTGATGTTGAGACCTGATGTTCAGATGTTGTCAAGAAATACGGGACCTTTATAAATGACAAATGATTGCGGTGGCCGAGTTAATAAACCCTTTGCCTCTTTTTGCTTCAGGTCATCTGTTTGCACCCAGGGTACTCCTAGTCCACCCAGCTGTAGAGAGCCTCCTTGTATACCAGAACAAAAGGCTTAGTCTGTTGTATGCTGTATCCACACTGCCCCTAACACATACGATACAGTATCCATTTCTGCATACGTAAATTAATAAAATGAACTTGTAACACAGGGTTTTAAAACAATGCCACTCTCAAAATGGGTTAAATTAAATAAAAATGAACAGCAAAAGGCAGAAACTCCACCATAAGTGAAAATATAACACAATATACTACGGAATAAATGTATAATTCTTAACCTAACATTCTGAGGCATTATTGTGAATCATCCAAATACAATGATCAACTCAGAAAATACAAAAAAAATTAAAATAAGAAATAAAACATAAAACAATGAAAACAAACCAATGTTTCTAAATCCTACCGCCAGGGGGCAACATGACCTCAGAATAATGAGGTAGGTAGGATGATGGTGATGGTATGTGTCTCAGCATGAGGTAAAGGGACTGGGAAACATAGCAGTAACTCTTTAAACAACAATAACATATCACTAGAGCTGTGTTAATAGAGTAAACATCCCTGACACTTGATGAAAATGAGTTAATAAAATGCAGAGAAAAAAAAATAATGAAAAATGTAAAAAACAATCAAATGGATTGAAAATCTCATCAAGAACTCTAATGGTAAACTGTACAATATATGAAAAAAGAATATACAATATTTATTTTCTCTTTACTGATGTTTTCTTTATTCTTTTTTTAAACATATTTCTGATACCAATCATAGGTGAGGTGGAACTACGATCAGAGTGGTGTGGGGTTAACGTGAGAGTATCCACTACAGCGGCATGAACTAGAAACTAAAAAATGGGGAAAAAATTAAAGCATATCTTATAAACTGGTTTGGGAAAGAGTGGCTGCAGTTATGTACAACAACTAAAATCTGTTCACCTCTCCCCCTAAACCACAAACCTTAAGAACCAGACTCAAGAATCCAAAGCATTTACGGACAGAATAATGTATCAGTCTAATGCTTCAGGTTCATGAGTTTGAGCCTCAGGGTTTGTGGTTCAGAGGGGAGAGGTGAACATATTTTAGTAGTTGACTTTACACTGTCTATTAAACCTTCAGTACACAAGGAGGCAGTGTGACCAGTACTGCAAAGAACCTCCTTCACTTCCTCAACTGCAAAGCAAGATGGTAGTGAGAGTTAACTAGCCATCATGGACACCAACAGCAGGAGGAAGGAGGGAAGAAACAAGGAACACCAACCAGGAGAAGGAAGAAGCAAGGAACACCCACGAGGAGAATAAGTACGACAGAAGGTGGACTGAGTAAGGGGCACCTACCTGCAGGAACTGTGTGGCGGCAGCATTACAGAAGACCGGTCTCTTGATGGTCATGACCCAGCGGTGGACAAAGTGGATGACTCGCCTCTTACACGCCACAATGAACTCCTCATCTTGGCTGTTACCTTGACTGTCTATACGATAAGTGGGGACTAAGTTAAGGAGGAAATACTCACACTTACTTATATTGTGTTGTTGTTCACTATGTGTATGTGTGTGTGGTGTGTGTGTGTATGTGTGTGTGTGTGTGTGTGTGTATGTGTGTGTGTGTGTGTTGATCATTCTCTCTCTCTCTCTTACTGAATATGTTTTAACATTATTTCCGCTGTTCTAGGAATTAATTTTTGTTTATAAAGAAATATTTTGTTTTACTCAGCGTGAAAAACTAGAATCTGAAAAAACCTGCTGAAATTCTTGTACATGTTAATTAATCTAATGTAACTGACATTTGAATATATTTTTATTTTGTCAACGATTTTAATCTGAACAACCTAGAATGACCTCAAGTGCTGACATCTGACCCAACACCTAAGGTGGCCCAACACAGAAGCTGTACAAAACAAATAAAAGGATATTGTCTTAAGAGCTCCTGGGTGAGGTGTGGGTAAGGCATGAACACGATGTGGGTGATGAAGAAGTCGTCGAGGAAGAGGTCGGTGGTGGCCATGTCGCACCGTCTGAGGGGGAGCTCAGCCACCTCCACACCTGTGCTGCCTCGACGACCGTCCAGCCGCGTCTCCAGCAGGTGTTCCAACATTTTCTGCGGTGTCCCTGCCATCACTGTGTACCTGTGGGTGTGAGGGAGGCGTTAATTGTTACCTGAAGGAGGCGGGAAAAATTGTAAGGTGTTGTGTGACTCCACCTCACCGTACAAGTTAAACCAGGGAGGTCCTTCAACGAGACTTATGTCAGGAGCAGGTAATTTATCACTAAATTAAGCGCCAACCTGCTTCTGGTTAGTTGGTGTCAAGTTGTCAACATTTCAAAGGAACCAGTAAGCTAAGAGGCTATAGATACGAGGTGACAGGAGTTATGACTTTACATGACAAGTGAAGTGAGGTAACAGGGATATGCCGTCACTTAATGGGTTGCCACCACAGACACCATTCAGACACAAGTGATCTCTGAGTTGATACATATAATAAATTTACTTGTTTTAGGTGTTTATTAATCTTTTCCCATAAAAAATCAAGACAAACAAATTTCTATAACAAATGTTAGAGAAGGTAAATAAAAAAAAATTCCGGGTATGCAAATTTCAAAAGTCAAGTCACAAGTCTATTTTTTTTCTTCTCAATTCACACATATACCATCTTCATGAATACTAATTACTGACCAAAGTTTACTTCCCAAGGCACAACCTTCTCATAAACTAGTTTACCTCTCTTAACTCAATGCACAAGACCTTCGAGGATGACCTACTTGTAGTGTGAGTGTGAGTGAGCGTTGGAGGAGATCTTCTCAAGTACGAGGACATCCTGACCGTGTTCCTTGAGTCTAACCGTGTTGGCCTCGACGTCTCTCATGATGCGGTTAAAGTCACCCTTGTCCACACGCAGGAAATGGCAGTTGTCCTCATGTAGAATAATGGTAGCTGCCCTGTGGATGAGGGAATGGAAGGTGGGAAGTCTCGAGTCAGGGCTGAGATGCTGGTGGTGAGGGAGGAGGGGTGAAAGAGGGAGAGGAGGAGGAGATAGTGATGGTGGTGGTGGTGGTGGTGGTGGTAAAAGTAGTAACATTGGAGGTGGTGGTAATTGTAGTGGTAATGGCAGTGGTGGTAATAGTGGTAGTGTAGGTGGTGGTGGTGGCAATGGTGATGATGATTTATGATGATTAAAATCGAAGAATAAGGAACACACATGAACACCTACCTGGGAGCATCATTCACGAGGGCTAACTTGCCAAAATCGTCTCCCTCTTGTAAGGTGTTGACGACCCCTTTGCCGTGGATAGCTACATTGACGGACCCACGAAGAATGATGTACCATGACTTGCCCTCGGAGCCTTGCTGGAACACTGAAGAGGGAGGAGGCACTGTTAGTCGATGGGTTAAATGAAGAAGGGGGCAGGAGAGGGGATGGGGGCAGGGAATGGGGGCAGGGAAGGGAATGGGGGCAGAGAAGGGAATGAGGGCAGGGGTAAGGCCAAATGCATTACACACACACACACACACGAGAAAAAACAGGCACAAACACAAAGACTCGTCCATACATCCAAACACAAACACACAATAGGAACTCATACACGCAGGGACCTAAAGTAACCACACGCCAGAGCTGTTGTGTGGCTGTATCCCCTAGAGAGGAGGATCAGAGGGAATCAGATCCGGTTTCCACAATCAGCAACATTTAGCGACATACAATGGGTCGAAGTTTAGTCACATGTATTCGGACAAGGTGAGATAAAGTGTTCGGTTTGTTGGTGTTCGTGTCGGGGAGTAATGGCAGATGGGGAAGGAAGGAGGGCAGATGGGGAAGGAAAGGAGGAAAATAAGAAGAAGAGGAGAAAAATAAAATAGGAAACAAAGGAGAACAGAAATATGAGAAAGAGAAAAGGAAAGAAAGATGAGAAGGATGGAAAGATGAGAAGAATGGAAAGATGAGAAGAATGGAAAGATGAGAAGAATGGAAAGATGAGAAGAATGGAAAGGAAAGAAGGAAAGAAAAATAACCTCACCGCTATATTGAACAAGAGACCCCTTGACATATATCAATATCTTCACTACACGTTTAGGCACTGTAAGGGAATAAGCAACCGATTGCACCTATTGTGGGGAATCATTTCAAACAGTTCTCAGAAGAGGAAGTATTGAAGCAGTTCCCAACACAACTGTCACTCTGGCCTGTGCAAGAGAGCTAGGCAGGTGTGATTCTCGACCCCCTCATTATTATTGTTAGCTTCATGATGCACACACTCATACACACACTCACACACACACTTATGCATGCATACACTCACTCACTAATGCAAGCACACACGCACGTCCACTCACTAACTCATGCATGTACAGTCGTGAACAGAAGTCCTGTCGCCCCTTGTGCTGTTCCGCGAACCAAGAGATTCAGACTCATGAACCCGAAGCAGTAGACACTGGTGCATTATTCTGCCCATAAATGCTTCAGATTCATGAGTCTGAATCTCTTGGTTCGCGGAACAGCACAAGGGGCGACAGGACTTCTGTTCACGACTGTACCACACGCATGCCCCCTCTCATCTCTCTCTCAATCACCCCTCCAAAAACACATACACAAGTTAAGACTCACATATGGTGCCTTCCCTGGAGTGGGACTCGAACTTGATGATGGAGGCCAGTTCCCTCTTGACGGAGTTGGAGAGATGGGAGAGCGCCTTTAGGTGGAGAAGCTCCTCGTAGATGAGTTCCTGGTCCTCGATGGTCCGCTCGTGGCTCCTGTAGGGGTAGGTTACGGTAGGTTAGGTTAGGTATGACGGATAGAAATTCTCACTATCCTGATGGGTCACCAATTGAGTATTTGATCATAAGGTGAATTAGCTGGGATGCATAAACTTCATGCGAGAGAGAGAGAGAGAGAGAGAGAGAGAATTAAATCCTCTCATAACACACAATAATTATTTTAATCCACCAATGAACCAAAAATTATAAAAATTCCTCGTAGTTTACTTATCCATGGAGACGATGGAAGGAAAATTTACTCACATGAGAGACAACCTTCATATTATTCCACTGTAAAGGAAGAAATACTACTCACGGCTTTCTGAGAATCATTCTGAGCATGGAGTCTGGTGCTCGCTGTTGGAGGAAGGCGAGGATGGGTGTCAGTCTATCCTCAGCATCCCGTCTCTCAGCTGGGGATGGCGTGATGGGGGGTACTCCAGGGGCTGCAGCTGAGTCCTCCAGGAATCGATAAAATAGGTACTTGTCCCTAAATGGCTGCTCCCCCGTCACTGTGGTAGAAGAAGGATCATGGTTAGGTTAGGAAAAATGAGAGAGGAAATGTAACCCTGAGAAATGAGTCAGAGAGATTAATTTACATACTGCCTTACCCATTAACCCATAAAACCCTGACTGACCTGACTGACTGACCCACATTTCTATACCCATTTCCCACCCCCTGACCCACATCAATACCCATTTCCCACCCCCTGACCCACATTTACCCATTTCCCACCCCTGACCCACATCAATACCCATTTACCCCACATCAATACCCATGTATTTCCCTGACCCATCATACCATTTTGACACCACATCAATGACCCATATCAATTTTCACCCCTGACCCACATCAATACCCATTTCCCCACTGACCCACATCAATACCCATTACCCACTGACCCACATCTATACCCATTACCCTTTGACCCACATCAATACCCACACCCATTTCCCACCCCCTGACCCACATCAATACCCATTTCCCACCCCCTGACCCACATCAATACCCATTTCCCTCTAAACCAACCCTGTTCCCCTCCCTCATCCACAATAATAAACCCTTTACCCCTTAACCACCAGACCCTTCCCTACCCCATAATCCCTTACCCACTTCTACCCCTTTTGCCACCTTATTCTCCCTCCCTATTCCCTTTAACTAGCCCTTTCCCCCCTCCCCCCTCTCATCTATCCCACTTTTCTCACTCTCTCCTCCCATGGGTGGCTAGATAATCTCCTCAATGTGACAAGGAGCACTGACAATGAAACACAACCAAGGTGCTATAGTACCCCCAGAGATCTTCAGGACCCCTTGTCAAGCTCACGGAGATCCCCCAGACCACCAAGAGTCCGCCTCAAAAGTTTACCAGATCCTCGCATTCATCTTGATCATTGGTGTAGGATTCTGATCTAGGATATATTTTCAGGATCTGGGAGTCTTGGAGATTTTTTTTTTTTTTCGTTTTGAGATTTGTGGTTGTATTTGAGTTTGTCAGGTCAGGTCAGGTCAGTCGGTCGGGTCAGGTCAGGTCCCAGGTCGGGTCAGATGGTCAGGTCTGTTGGTTCTCATATTGACTTAAATACTTTCATCATAACACGGATTCTACTCACCAATTTCTCGAGAAACTAAGTTGAGAAACGGACCTTGATCCTGTAACAATACCTCTCCCCTCTCTCCCTCCATTCTTTCCTCCTCTCTCCCTATACTTTCTCTTCCCCCCTCCTCCTCTCCCCCACTCCTCCTCTCCTCACCCTTTCCTTCCCTTACCTATTTTCTCCCCATCCTTCTCTTCCCTCTCCCTCCATGTCCTCCTTCCCTACCCTGTCCTTCCCCTGCCCACCGCCTCCTCCTCCTCCTCTCCCCTACCCCACCCCTCCCACCCACATCTCCTCCGTTTCCCCATCCCTCTCCCCCTCCCACTCCCCTACCCCACTCGTCATGCCAACGTAGAAAAAAATCTGACCCATCACATATAATTGGACTACAGGACTTTACGTGATAAACTACAAAGGCGACACAGGCCATCTTTCCTTACTGACTTAACTGATAGAGAGTGGCGTTTTATTCCATCTGCTGGAGGGTTAAACTGTCAAACTTAAGAGTGAGTACTGTATATGTTGAGAGAATCTGATTGGTTGGATGTGTGGGCCAATCACGTTGCAGGTGACATATACAACAACATAACGACCATCATTTAAGTTAACTCGGTAACTCACATATAGGGCGAGTGGCTGCTAATAACAGGAGGAGGAGGAGGGAGAGGGAATTACTAATCTCGACAACAGGATAATTGGGACTCATGAGGGCCCGTATACACGTCTTAAATACCGTGGCTGTAGAGACGGCCGGCGAGCACGTACACACACACACGTACATGTTTAATTCAAGGTTCGAATCCACAAGTTGAGGTGATATTATGGTCGAAGGAAAGTACCCAGTCTCTCTCTCTCTCTCTCTCTCTCTCTCTCTCTCTCTCTCTCTCTCTCTCTCTCTCTCTTTATATATATCCACAAGGGATTTAATGCATTAACAGGTGTCACACAGCTGTTGATAACGATGCTGCATACACGAAACTTTTTCCTAGTGACGTAAGCGACCCACAGGTGTTCATAATTACACGCACGCGACTCACTGTTGAAGAAAATGATCCAAGGATGAACCACAGGTGCTGACAGAGACCCCAGATGAACCACAGGTGCTGACAGACCCCCAGATGAACCACATGTGCTGACAGAGACCCCCAGATGAACCACAGGTGCTGAGGGGCTGAGAGAGATGATTGGGGTGGCTGAGAAGGATAGAGGTGGCTGAGAGGGATAGAGGTGGCTGAGAGGGATAGAGGTGGCTGAGAAGGATAGAGGTGGCTGAGAGGGATAGAGGTGGCTGAGAGGGATAGAGGTGGCTGAGAGGGATAAGGGGGGTTGAGAGAGGTGATAGGGATGGCTGAGAGGGCTAAGGGGTGTGGCAGGTCTTCCTTTGAGGGGTTTAAGGGGGAAAAAGGACCTCATCTCTAGCATTGACTTCACCACAGCAAGGACGTCAAGGGGTTCAAGGGGGAATTACATATAAAACACAGTTACAGGTTTAGAGAGAGAGAGAGAGAGAGAGAGAGATTTAAGGCAGCAGAAGAGACACGAAGGTCAAAAAGGTCCCTCAATCTATCACTTTAAAAGAGCAAATATGTTCCACTGTCACCTTACGTGGGCTAACCTAAACTAGCCTTGCCTTGCCTAACCTAACCTAACCTAACCTAACCTAACCTAACCTAGCCTAGCTTTTCCTTGCCTTGCCTAGCCTAGCCTAACCTAACCTAACCTTGCCTTACCTAGCCTAACCTAACCTAGAATTAAAAAAGTGGTTGGGTTTATAACGCCCTGCACTGTGAGTCCATCTCTACCCATAGGGGCTCTGACGTCACTCCCAAACCACCAATCACAGCCAGCCAGACTATAAACAAAAAATACGGCTATAAACAAAAATACGACTATAAACAAAAATACGGCTATAACCCAAAAAATACGACTATAACCAAAAATACGGCTCTAAAAAAAAAATACGGCTCTAAACAAAAAAAATACGGCTATAAACAAAAAATACGACCAAGACAAACAAACGTACGGATAATTCGATACTAAACAATGAAAAATAAGGACCATAATACACAACACAATATAAATAACATATAAATATTTTACCACATAAGTCAAGGTCAAACTTTGAGTGATTTTTTTAGTCTGTATATCTTGGTGTGTGTGTGTGTGTGTGTGTGTGTGTGTGTGTGTGTGTGTGTGTGTGTGTGCAGTTGAGTGAGTTAGGTGGGGAAATGCGTGTCATATTTAGAGACCTTGATTATGAGTGAGGGTGAGTCAAACACACACACACACACACACACACACACGTCATATCGATCAACGTTGTATATGTAGGTTAGTTTATGTATGTGTGCGTTCGTGTGTACATGTGTGTGTCCATCATCTCAGTTTAAGGACACACCATGGTTAACAGTCACCCAACCTCCCACCTGAGCTATTATTAATCAGATATAACATAACATGGTAACCTCATCTCAGTTAAGTAATGAGGTTAAGTGGTAATTTCTGTAGGGAGTAATTATGTTGGAGAGGCGTGTTGGTGTGGACGAGTGGTGGAGGGGGTAGTAGGGTGGTGAAGGGATGAAGGAAAGGGGTGGAAGAGGGAGGGAGAAAGGGGACACTGAGCGTTGGAGAGCTTACAAGGTCACCTGAAGGAGGCCCGTGTGGAGGGGGTGGGGGAGACCTAAACGAATGAGGTCAGGGGAGGGAAAACAAGGGTCAGGGGAACACATGGGAGATAAGATGAGGTCAAGGAAGGTCAGGGGAGGTCAGTGACACAGGTGGTACCAAACGCAACGCCTCGACAACAGGGGATCAAGCAATAGGTCTCCTGCGTCAATTAAACACGTGTTAACAGCCGTGTGTGAGGTGATGAGAGGAACAAAACTGTTTTATTGGATTCTGTTTCATAATATTGTCCAGTGGTTGTGGGATATTATTGGAAAAACGGAGATAAAAACACGAGGGAGGGCGAGGGTGACGTGGAACTCTCTCTCTCTCTCTCTCTCTCTCTCTCTCTCTCTCTCTCTAAAGTGGTACATGTGAGGAGGTGTGTGTGAGAGGGAGCGTTTGAGTGCGTTTATCATCTCAACACTAAGTTTCCTCACTTAACCCATCAAGTCGTCCATAGCCTCAAACAACCCGCTATATACACTGACCGTGGTAGATGGCGCCCTCCTCTAACAGTGACTGCCACATGCCCGCTGCTTGTGACCTGGAGTGTACGGTGGAGGTGAGAGACAGCAACCACTCTGTCATCTCCGTGCCCACACCACACCTGGGCTGGGGACATCCTCGGTGTCGACGATCACGCAGCAGGTGAGGAGCCCGTGCCAACAAGAGGGTCCTTAACACCCACGCCGCCTCGCAGATACGGGTGCTGGGAGCCTGTGTGAGGAGGAAAGATGTGAAAATATTAAGTTACTGGCTGTGGGAGTCGACTATGAGGTAACACTTAAATCGTCTGTAGATAAACTCTCTCTCTCTCTCTCTCTCTCTCTCTCTCTCTCTCTCTCTCTCTCTCTCTCTCTAGATCTCAGCAAACATTTACATTTTTTCAGGATTTCCTCAAACCTTTATTAATATCAAGATGGAGGAATAATTAGCTGGATGGCACAAGAGAGGTAAGGTTGGCTGGGCATTAGCCACTCCTGACTGAATAGACGAGGCAGGTAAGGGATTGGAGGGTTTTGAAGGTTTAATTATAACCCGTATGTAAGAGGCGTTGGGGATGACTTGGTAATATTAAAGTTTGTGTTTACATTCCTGATTAGCTGTACCATATAGTGTTCCAATGTTTCATAGAGATTCGTTACTCTTTTAAAAAACATCGTTCTATTTTGATTTTTTATTATCTAAGTTTGTTTACGTTCTTGAATAAATAACAAAATAAAGAAGAAATTAAAGTTTGAAAAAGAAATTGGAGACTATTGTTCACAGAGGACAGGTTTTTGGTCACCAACGAAGGATTGTGTTTAATAAGCCACCGAACTATCCTCAATGACGTCACACCTACTGTATCAAATCCCCATGACGTCATTCAAATCCAGACATTGTATTGGTTCGTAATAATTAGGATCTGTTCATTGTTACGCCCACTACCAGACAGAGTATTAGGTGACAAACTTATGCCACCTACGTCACCTGTACATACATACAGTACATACATAATGGTTGCTATCTCTTGTTTTCTTGTTGCCCCTCGTGTAACGAGGATGGCCGGCCCAAGGGCCACCCAGGCGTTAATTTGTTAAGGTGTAGAAGCTGTCGCCAACACAACAACCACACCCTAAGTTAACGAGTTGCATGACCCAGTGTCAAGGAATAGTCCGAGAAGACCGGACAACTCGCCAACTGCACTGGCTAACCATTACCCCGGAACACGATCCGCAAATCGATTAACATCCAGGTTCCCAATTACTGCTGGGTAGACAGAGGCAAATGGCGTAAAGAAACTTGGCCATAGTTTCACCCTGCCCGAGGATCGCACTCGGGTCCGTTCGCTTGCGAGGCGAGGATGCTGACCATTACACCTCATACATACATAGGGCCAACAGAGGGCTCCACCGACCACACTTCAAAGGCTTAAGAGTGGGTCTTCAATTACGAGAGACTGTAAACAACATGGCCCGCCCCGCCCCACCTCCTGAGTGAAGGAGACTTGGGGTGATTCACATGACTGAGTGACGTGGGATTGATTCAGTTCTTTAAATAAATAGTAAACAGCCGCTAAATGACATTCAGAAAACTATAACTTTCATCAACCAAAATATTCAACTCACATCCTCAAAATGATCAACATATTTTTCCAGAACCCTGACGTGAGTTCATTAGATTTACCTCTTAGATCGGTGTTGAGGGAGGTGTAGGAAGCATAACATCCTCTCATCACCATTTGGAACATTGAACACTGGATAATTTCGTTCTATCTTGGTTAATTCACTCATGATCGTCAATGCTAGAAGTTATTGTGGAAAGAGAGAGAGAATCTAGCTACTCCCTTGCGGTGTTTTCCATGTACTAACGTCAATATAGGTTGAATCTCATGAGTGACTCGAGAACTAGGGTTCGTTTCGTCACTAAGGCAATCATTTAATCTTCGTTTGTTTAGTAGAATTGTGGTTAATACAAAATTGGTGAAATAATTTAGTTATGTTTTCGTCTTTCAATATTTTTAATTTTGTTACTTTATTGTCTCTGATAATTCGTCAAATATCTCTAAGTGAAATGTTTATCTCTGAGTTCGAATAGGTGTTTTAAGTCGTATGTTTCAAGTGGTAAATACGCCAAGTTAAATCCTTCGTTCCTTCAGTGTAAATATTAATGTCAATAATTTTAAACCTGGGACCAATCTATTTGTATTTTATAGGGATATTATTTACAAATTTAAATATTTTTATCAAGAACTAAAAATTTTAATTTGTCTGGTATAAATGTCATGTATTTTAGTTTCTCAATAATTTTTTCAATTTTTATTTACCGTTTTCTTTGTTAATTTTATGGGTAACTATTGTAATACTTCGCCTTCATCTTCTTTCTCTCGCACATCATTCAATTTTACTTTTTTTTGGTCTCGTTATTCGTGGATTTTCGAAATACTTCCTGATGATTTTCACAAATTATAGAAAATATCTCTATAATATTGTATGATGCCACCCCATGATCTTTACATATGAGTGATATGAAAATACACACAAAGGCATTTATAACCTACGCATGCCATCTCTGCCTCTCTCACTCACTCACACACACACACCATCTCTCCCTCCCTTTCACACATACACACCCTCTCCCTCCCTCTCACACACACACACACAACCTCTCCCTCCCTCTCACACACGCACACACCATCTCCCTCCCTCTCACACACGCACACACCATCTCTCCCTCCCTTCCACACACACACACAACCTCTCCCTCCCTCTCACACACGCACACACCATCTCTCCCTCCCTTCCACACACATACACAACCTCTCCCTCCCTCTCTCACACACACACAACAATAAATAAATGAAAGTCATATGTAACTCTTTGTATACCTGTTCTGCCAGACTGGGGGCGTGGTAAAGGTGCACTGTCATGGTAAAGGTGTGTACGTAGCAGTACTTTACGTAATAGTAGTGCAGTTGTTGGTAAGTGTCGTCCATCTCACACACATCATAAGGACGTGGTCATTACTCTGTTACTCATACACGGAAGAGGTCACTGTTACTCACGCATATAATAATAATAATGGTTGTCCCTCGTGTAACGAGGATGGCCGGCCCAAGGGCCACCTAGGCATGTGTTTGTTTAAGGTGTAGAAGCTGTCGCCAACACAACACCCACACCCTGAGTTAACGAGCTGCATGACCCTGTGTCAAGGTATCGTCCGAGAAGACCGGACAACTCGCCAACTGCACTGGCTAACCATGATCCCGGAATACGATCCGCAAATCGATTAACATCCAGGCCCCCAATTACTGCTGGGTAGACAGAGGCAAATGGCGTAAAGAAACTTGGCCATAGTTTCACCTGCCCAGATCGAACTGTCCATGTTGTTTGTATATGACTATTACACCACAGGTCACACATAGACACATAACGTCACACACACACACACACACACACACACACACACACACACACACACACACACACACACACACACACCAGGTCAGAAAAAAAGGAGTCTATTCATCCTACTGAATGTCATGACTGTAAATTTTGTTTTATACATTTCATGAATTTCGTGAATGTTAGAATAACTTTTAAACAGAGGGATAAAGCTGACCCAGGCTATCATTTATTTATTTACACTTATATAAATGAGGTCGCGATCAGGAGACAGCTAGGGAGTGAAATGTAGTAGTATAGATCTGCGGCTCAACTAACTCAACACAGCTAGGATAACTACTTATGTATTACGAGATTTAATTTTAGGGTAATAAAATGGTGGCGAAGGTGCGGCTGTTAGGGGAGGCTGGAGGCCACGTTAAAAAAAAAGAAAACAAGTTGTAGTAGTGTTCATAGCAGTGCATTTAGAAATAGTCGTCGTATTAGTAGTAGAAGTAGTCGTAGTGAGTCGACAACCTTAGCAGTACATGTTGTAGTAGTAGTAAAAGTAGTCGTAGTGAGTCGACAACCTTAGCAGTACATGTTGTAGTAGTAGTAAAAGTAGTCGTTGTGAGTCGACAACCTTAGCAGTACATGTTGTAGTAGTAGTAAAAGTAGTCGTAGTGAGTCGACAACCTTAGCAGTACATGTTGTAGTAGTAGTAAAAGTAGTCGTTGTGAGTCGACAACCTTAGCAGTACATGTTGTAGTAGTAGTAAAAGTAGTCGTAGTGAGTCGACAACCTTAGCAGTATATGTTGTAGTAGTAGTTTGGTGTAGTAGAAATAACAGGTAGAAAGACTCAGTGTAGGGTGAGTTGTGTGCCTTGAGCAACACACAGTGACTGTATAAGATTGACTCACCTCCACTATGGGTACAGCGGCGTTGCTCGGGGAGTCCAGTTCCTGAGAGCGCTGCTGTTCCACCTTGGTGCGGTCCCTCCTTCCACCCCTCCGACGCCCCTTCGTTCGTCCCTTCACTCCCCCGTTGCCATTCATCACACCTCCTGGTTCCTTACTCTCACTCATATCTTCTTCCTCGTCTTCGTCTTCCTCATCCTCATCCTCCTCATCGTCTTCATCCTCATCGTCATCTTCCTCGTCCCTCTCTTGTCTTCTGTAGTTCACCACTGGGACGTTTTCTACTTCCTCCTCGTCTTCTTCCTCGGCTGTGTCTTGAGACTCACACCGTAGACGGAGTACCGCGCTACGTAAGCTAGAGCGTCGTGGACTGACGGAGGGGCTGTCGAAACTGGCGGCCCTTGTCAGACTGGGTCGCCGGGGTCCGTCTCTTGTAGGAGTCCCTTGTACGGGTGACGACTTGGTGGGTGTGCCCCTGGGTGTGGAGCCCCTTGACGAAGATTCTCGCGAAGGAGATTCGCTCTTGTTCCTATTGTGACTATCGCTTGTAGATGGCCCGATGTACGAGTTGCTTCCCTTGTGTGACGCACCACTGTGTTCTATGGACGCCCCTCGAGTAACGTTAAAGCCCCGAGGGAGGGTACTAGAGGCTCTGGGCACTGATATAGAGCTACTTCTTTGCTGGTGTCCCCCGGGTGCTCTCACAGGGGATGAGGACGCGGCTCTGGTGGGTGAAACAGCGGAGCCACGACGTCCCTCGTCTGCCCTGGAGGTGGGTTCTCGTGGGAGTTCTCTGGGGGTGGCAGAGCGTCGACGTCGTGAGCCCACCCGACGCCACAGTGCCCGTCCCTCCTCCATGACTGATCCAGAGGCTGCTGTGGGAGTCACGCACCACTAGAATGATCTCACAGAAATGATAGTCACGATTACGACAGTCAAACCCAAGTAGGTAAATCCTCCATGGGGCAACACGTGCACAAGTTTGGTGTCAGGACTAAAACATAAGACTGATAGCCATGAGTGGAACACCTTGTATAACATAACATGACGAGTGGTTAACAAACAGTAAAGGTGTAACTGTAGTCAAAGTCAATAGTCAAAATATTTAAATCTTTCTCAGGTGTTACATCCGGGAGATTATGATTCATTTTCTATTCATTTTTTTTATTCTGTTTTATAAAGAGTTTGTTTACTTGATTTTGTTATGATGATTAATATTTATTATGTGAGGAAAAAATATACAGATTTGTACTGATAATTGCAGGTAAATGAATCTTAAACAACAATGACAAGTATTTCTTTGTTTACGAGTATTATCCGACTTGTGATAAACTAAAACAAAATATACCTGAAGAGTTAATGAATAGGACCGAGTTTTGCTCGGCTTGTACAATGGTTTGTTCCCACTAGAATCAGACTTAAGTGAATGGTGATTTGTTTTGACTGATAGAAGAGCAGTGATGAATCGTAAGTAAATGGTACATTTGTCACAGTAGTACAGAGGTAACTGAGCATCACCTTTAAGTCCCAATTAAAAGTCCTTAATCTTCAGGTACAGCTACCACAATACCTGTTCTTCACTATTTTAACGTATAATATTAGAAAAGTCATATGAATAAACAAAAATTATCTTCAATTAATAATAATGCTTTAAGATATAATTTCACCATTTATCTGATAATTATTCTAATATCAACACAATAATTCACAGTTACATACATACACGAGTTGTTACACAGTGTTACAGAGACGCCTGATATAAGTGTTTCTTTATCCTGCAAGACACACCACAGAGTTAAACAACTTACTGAGGCGGAAGATATGGAACACCTTACCTTCCTTCCTGGTGGAGCTGTAAATCATGTCTTGCATAAATTCCTTGTTCCTCTGAAAAGAAAACAAAACAAAGTTAACATGAGGTGGGAAAATGTTGAAGCCTTCAAGAAAAATAAACATACAAGGAACTGCACTTTACTATATAATCAAAAATATCATAAAATTAAAGTCACAATTTGACGCAAGATGCCAAAATGTTAGTGAGTTGTGTACCATTGAACACAGAGACCTGACGTACACAAACCCAAACCCATAGAACTTGCGTGGTAAGATAACAAGACAAGCTGGGATAACGTATACCTGTGTAATGATCATTCTACAACAGTATAGGTAACTGCTACACTGACAGGAATCACCAGAAATGCCAAGGTAATTAGGAGGCTTCTTCAACCTGTTCCTTAGGTCGAGGTGACGATCATGAGGAACACAACACACACGCCAGGAATCGATAACACCACAAGATCCCCACACCACAACTCATGTTATCCAAGAACGGAAGCTCACTTATACGTTACAAAGATGAGTTGATGGGAACATGAAGCCGGATAGAAATACCATATCCGGAGAGGGACCTGTGAGAACGGTGACGATGCTTGTGAGGTACTGGCAGCCGAGGGGACGGTGAGGAGTGAGGGGAAGGAGAGAGGCGGGAGAGGTAACGGAGGGGGGGGGGGGCTACCTCCACAGGCTCATGACTGGCTTCTACCCCCAACCCTTCGTCCCACCCTCCACTGTTTACAACGTCACAACACCAAAAAGCAAAAAGAGAGCTGAGAAAACTATATCGCTTTAAAGCGCTTCCTGAGAAAATAAAACTCCGCCTGGTGACATCATTTATCACACCGATATTAACTTACCCAGCAATACCTCTTCATACTATGAGCACCACTCAAATATTAAAATTACAGGTGATTCAAAATGAAGCCCTAAGATTCGTCACAGGCGAAAGATACCCCTTCACCAGAACCACAGCCGAGATACATAGAGACCTAAGAATGAAACCCATCAACCAGCAGCTGCACACCCTGGCCAGCAGAGTCTGGCAAAAGATAGAACGATCAGAGCAAGAACTCCTTCAAAGACTCCCACCAGATAACGACAACAACCGTACATGGTTCCCAAAAAGTTACCAAATCTCAAAAGGTCCATTACCACCCCCGATCTACACGGCCAGGCAATAGACAACCTCCCTCGACCAGCATCCGCCAGTAGGGTCGGCGGAATATAAAATAAGGCCCTTAAAACACCCATATATGGGACAGGGTAGGATGTCTAGTGCCTGTACCGACAGACAATAACTAACCCATGACACAACCCTAACACACTATTAGCTTAGCTAGGCGGTCAGCCCGCCCTCTCTTACCTCCTCCAAAATTTCTTAAATTTCAGAACTATAACTTCCTTCCCCCACCTCTAATCTTCCTTCATTCCTCTTTTCTCTACAAAAAAAAACCTACCTCCTATCGTACCCGTCCCCTCCCATCCCTCTCCTCTCCATTACTACCCCACCCCTCTCCTCCCATCCCTCTCCTCTCCATTACTATCCCACCCACCCCTCTCCTCTTCCTTACCATCAACATCGATTGAAGCTTCATTTTCCCCGAAATATCTGACTCATCTTTCATTAAGGTAAAAGAAACCATTGATCCATCTTGAGACCTGCCCACACACCCTGCCCACACACCCGGCCCACTCACCCTGCCCACTCACCCTGCTCACACACCCTGCTCACACACCCTGCTCACACACCCTGCCAACACACCCTACACTTTTTCTTCTCTTTGTTTCCCTTCCTTTTTTTTCCTCTCTCTCCATTCTCTCAATTTTCACTTTCCTTTCCTGTCCTTTCTCTCTCTTCTTCCTTCTATTCCTCTTCCCTTGTTCCTTCCCTCCCATCCACTTTCATCTTCCTCAGCCTCCAAATATTTTTTACTTTCCTGTCCTCTCCCTCTCTCTCTCCCTTTGTCCTCCTCCTCCTCTATCCCTTCCTCCTCCTCCTCTTCTCCACACCTTTTTTCTCTCACCAACACAACTCGGGCATAACTGTCTTCAAACACACTCAAAAAAAGAAAAAGAATATATCCTCCTCTGAGAATACACCATGAATACTGGGCAAAGAATAAATAAACAACATTGCTGATTTTTACATAACATTCTCTGACATACGTACATCAAAGGTCACACACACACACACACACACACACACACACACACACACACACACATACGTTTGAGCCAGATAACCTGACCCCTCATAATTTACCATCTTAAATTAAGATGCTGAGGATGAGTGGATATGCTACTCACTTCCTATCCAAAGGGTAACTGGTTCGACCCAATGTACTACAGTTATTGTTGATGAAAAATAAAAGGTATTTGAGTGCAGTACCGGCTACGTTAGGTACTTGTATACCGTAGAAAGGTTTAGCTAACAGTATTGTCAGATTGCATCCACACAGCCTAACGGTACCCATGATATACTACAGCTAGTTCATGACTCCTTACTCCATGATATACTTCAGCTAGTTCATGACTCCTTACTCCATGATATACTTCAGCTAGTTCATGACTCCTTACTCCATGATATACTTCAGCTAGTTCATGACTCCTTACTCCATGATATACTTCAGCTAGTTCATAACTCCTTACTCCATGATATACTTCAGCTAGTTCATGACTCCTTACTCCATGATATACTTCAGCTAGTTCATGACTCCTTACTCCATGATATACTTCAGCTAGTTCATGACTCCTTACTCCATGATATACTTCAGCTAGTTCATGACTCCTTACTCCATGATATACTTCAGCTAGTTCATGACTCCTTACTCCATGATATACTTCAGCTAGTTCATGACTCCTTACTCCATGATATACTTCAGCTAGTTCATGACTCCTACCCATGATAATTTCCAGCTAGTTCATGACTCCTTACTCCATGATAAGCATTTCCAGCTAGTCTATGACTCACCCATGATATACTTAGCTTGTCTATGACTCCTTACTCCATGATACTAGTTCATGACTCCTTACTCCATGATATACTTCCAGCTAGTTCATGACTCCTCATCCATGATATACCAGCTAGTTCATGACTCCTACTCCACATGATATACTCAGCTAGTTGTCTATGACTTCATCTACGACATACTCTGATAGTTCATGACTCCTCATCCATGATACACTCAGCTGTCCATGACTCCTTACCTCCATGATATATCAGCCAGGCTCATGAATTTTCACTCCATGATATACTCTCAGCTAGTTCATGACTCATCTACAGACATACTCTGAACAGTCACACCTGCCTCCATGATATACTTCAGCTGTCATGACCTCATCTACGATATACTTCAAAGAAGTCTTATGACTCTCGGCCCATGACAGGCCCAGCTTAGTTCATGACTCCTTACTCCATGATATACTCTAGCTAGTTCACACTCTCATCCATGATATACTTCATTAGTTCATGACTTACTCCATGATATGTATTTCAAATAGTCTATAGACCTTACTCATGATATACTTCAGCTTAGTCTCATACCTTACTCCATGATATACTCAGCTAGTTCATGACTTTACCCATGATATACTTCCAGCTTAGTTTATGACTCTTACTCCCATGATATACTCAGCTTAAATTCATGACTCCCCTTTACCCCATGATATACTTCAGCTTAGCCATGACTCATCTACGATATACTTCCAACAGTTCCATGAACTCTCACTCCTATGAGGTACCAGCTATTCATGACTCCTTACTCCATATGGTACTAGCTAGTTCATGACTTTACCCACAGATATACTTCCATTAGTCTGACCTCACTCCATGATATGAGCATTTCAGCTAGTTCATGTGAGAATTTTACTCCACAGATATATACACTACTAGTTCATGACTCCTTACTCCAAGGATATACTTCAGCTTAGTTCTATGACTCTTACTCCATGACATACTTCAGCTAGTCTATGACCCCTTACTCCATGATATACTTCTAGCTAGCTCATGACTTTACTCCATGATATATACTTCAGCTAGTTCATGACTCCTTACTCCATGAGTATACTCACGCGTTCATGACTCTCACTCCAGATATACTTCAGCTTAATTCATGACTTCATCTACGATATACTAAATAGTTCATGACTTTATCTACGGATATACTTCAGCTAGTCCATGACTCACTCCATGACATACTTCAGCTAGTTCATGACCTCACTCCATGAGATACTCTCAGCTAGTTTTATGACCACTTCCCAGTGGATACACTTCTAGCCAGGTTCAGACTCTTTAATTTCCATGACATGCACTTCTCCCTAGCTAGGTTCATGACTCCATCTGATATATCACAGTCATAATTCCTTGCCCATGATATATTTCAGCTAGTTCATGAACCTCATCTACGACATACTTCAGCTTGTTCATGACCTTACTCCACGAGTTATACTTCAGCTAGTTCACATGACCTCATCTACAGATATACTTCAGCTTAGTTCATGACCTCCTCACCCATGACATATACTTCAGCTAGCTTCATGACTCCCACCATGATATACTCTAGCTAGTTCATGATCTACTCCACAGATATACTCTCAGCTAGTTCATGACTCCTTACCCATGATATACTTCAGCTAGCTCATAATTCTTACCCCATGATATACTCAGCTTGTCCATGACCTCATCTATGATATACCTAGCTAGTTCACATGACCTTTTACTCCATGATATATCATAGGGGAATGCCCAGACTCCTTACTCCATGATATACTTCTAGCTTAGTCTATGACTCACTCCATGATATACTTCAGCTAGGTTCTGCACCTTACCCATGATACACTTCAGCCAGTTCATGACTCCTTACTCCATGATATACTTCAGCTAGTTCATGACTCTTACTCCATGATATACTCAGCTAGTTCATGACCTCATTCCATGAGACATACTTCAGCTAGTTCATGACTCCTTACTCCATGATATACTTCAGCTAGTTCATGACTCCTTACTCCATGATATACTTCAGCTAGTTCATGACTCCTTACTCCATGATATA